ACAATAGAAATATCTATCACTTTATCATTGTATTTAGTGTTTTACTAGCTTTCAAGCCCGTGCGATGCACGGGTAATATGTAATTTAGCTAATTTGAAATTTAATTTCTATCGGATCACATAAAATGTGATTTAAAACAAAAATAAACTTAGTCTATTATAGAGTCTGTTTGATAATACTAAAGTAAATAGAATTAACTTATTTTGCTGAAATTGATTGAATTCTGGTTAAATAGGTGGCATCTTCTGAATCACGAAAAATATATGTGAAATATATTCCATTTGTGAAACAAAGAAAAAAATATATGAAAAAAAAGCTAAATTGGTCTTCTACATAAGCATCTCAAGTAAACATAATTGTTATGAACCTAATAATAACAAAAAATCGATATTTCTTAATTGTTAGATCTTAGAGTTTACTCATGAATAAGAACGTTTTAATTGAATTAAAATTTAGGGTTTGATTTGTTATGAATTAATATGGTCTATTAGATGTCGGTTTTTTATGTGAGTTATTGTTATAATTATTAAAGTTTGATCTGATCTGATTTAATCTAGAACTACAATCAATCCAATTAAAAACATTCTATTAAAATAAAAGTAGGAATTCGTAAACCTATAAAGATTTTCTAATTTGGATTAGGAATCTATTTCAAAAGTGAAGACATATTTGAATTTTAGGTGTAAAATAAAGAAACAGCCAAAAAATTTACTTATTTGGCTAAGCTAAACATTTTTTAGCTTACTAATTTATTAATAGGTGTCAAATTAATAAGTAAACTAATTTGCATATTTGTTTCTATTTAATTCGGTGTAGTAAACTAATATAAATTAGTTTCCATATCAATAAACGTTATTAGAATTTCACTTTGATAACCAAAAATTATTTACTTATTTGAAGCTTACCAAATTAGTTAAGATGCATGGATTTATAAGGATTTTTGTTTCCATATCAATATGCAATCAAAAATAGAATCTGATAAAAACAAAAGGTATAAAAATAAGTAAATAATTGTTATATATAATGACATGGCATGATTATGTGGCGCTTTGTATGCTCTTAAAAAGTTCCTCTTTTATATATATATATATATATATATATATATATATATATATATATATATATTGATTTTAGTCCGACCAATTCGATCATTTATATTTCATAATTTTTTGGAATTCAAATATATTAAATTATCAACTACGTTACTCTCTACATTTCAGTTTATTAAAACATACTAGCTTTTAAGCTTGTGCAATGCAGGGACAGTATGTAATTTACCTAATTTGAAATTTAATTTCTATGGGATCACATATAATGTGATTTAAAAGGAAAATAAACTTAGTCTAATATAGAGTGTTTGATAATACTAATGTAAATAGAATTAACTTATTTTGCTAAAATTGATTGAATTCTGGTTAAATAGGTGGACTCTTCTGAATCATGAAAAATATATGTGAAATATATTCCATTTGTGAAACAAAGAAAAAAATATATGAAAAAAGTTAAATTGGTCTTCTACATAAGCACTAAAGTAAACATAATTGTTATGAACCCAATAATAATAAAAAATCTATATTTCTTAATTGTTAGATCTTACAGTTTACTGATTAATAAGAACGTTTTTAATTGAATTAAAATTTCGGGTTTGATTTGGTATTAATTAATATGGTCTATTAGATGTCTATTTTTTATGTGACTAATTGTTATAATTATTAAAATTTGATCTGATCTGATTTAATCTGCAACTGAAATCAATCCAATTAAAAACATTCTATTAAAATAAAAGTAGGAATTCGTAAACCTATAAAGATTTTCTAATTTGGATTAGGAATCTGTTTCAAAAGTGAAGGCATATTTGAATTTTAGGTGTAAAATAAAGAAACAACCAAAACAAATTACTTATTTGGCTAAGCTAAACATATTTACTTGTGAAAAAATATATATACTTTATGTTGTTTATAATTTTTAATTTCATTTTTAATGATTTACTTATTTGAAGCTTACTAATTTATTAATAGGTGTCAAATTAATAAGCAAACTAATTTGCATATTTGTTTCTATTTAATTCGGTGTAGTAAACTAATATAAATTAGTTTCCATATCAATAAACGTTATTAGAATTTCACTTTGATAACCAAAAATTATTTTACTTATTTGAAGCTTACCAAATTAATTAAGGTGGATTTATAAGGATTTTTTTTTCCATATCAATATGCAATCAAAAATAGAATCTAATAAAAACAAAAGGTATAATTTTTTTTATCCCGGTAGGTTGGCCACCAAAATCAGTGGGGCAAATGCCGGGAAACATTTACCGGATTAAATAGATGAAGAAATCGAATACATCAGGAAAGGGGAACCATACCAAAACCTTTCCAAGGAGGAAATACTCCCAAAAATACATCTAAAAACAGAAAACGAGCAACAACGAACATTAAAAACGGAAGGACGGAATTCCATAAAAATCCATCAGATATGCCCGATTAGCAAAAATTGGAAGCTGGGAGGGTTATATGGCGCTTTGTATGCTCTTAAAAAGTTCCTCTTATATATATATATATTGATTTAGATTTTAATGAAGAAATTAGATTTCTTTCAGATGTTTTAGGATTTAAATACGTTTCTTTCCATGACGCTGCACTTGCCTAATCAAATGGCTAGTCTTTATTTTTCATTATCCCAAACCAAACTGCAATAATGGTTCCATTATATGCCATGTTATTACTCTGCACAAAATTCACCGCTGAAAACATAATTAATTTTCATTATCCCAAACATAATTATTTTTATTATGTGTTTCATTTTCAACCTCTGTGAGATGAATCCTTTGGCGGCCTCTAGTGAACCTCTTATTCACAGTGTTGCCAGACCTGATAAAACTAAATAATGTATTTGGTTTAAAATATATTGCAATCAATTATGACACACATTATAGAAGTTATGGATCGTATTTACAGCCAACTTAGTGGTGCCACTTTGGTGTTTTTTATGGCATGTTAGGTTATGTAGTAATTTAATATTCCGTACAAAATAAATCCACTTTACGACTTCGTTGAATGGATTTTGATTACTATTGTGTAGGTATGATCCAACTATGCTAATACTTCTTTACATTTATGGAATATAGGTCATGATTGAATTGGGGAACATAAATAAAACCTTGTCAATTTATTAGATATTGTAAGTACATTTTAACATCGTCACTTAATATCATCACTTTTATTAGCATTGTCGCTAGACATTTTCAAAATAGAAGTGTTTGAATTATTAATATATTAGATTAACTATTTTGACAATGTAGACATTGGATTATCATTATGGTGATATGGTCGTGAGAAAATACGCACGATTACGTACGGTATTAATTTAGTACAGCTCCAATAGACTTTAGAACTTCTACTCAAATTATGTAGTCGAGAAACTACATTTAAATTAATGGTAAGTAATCTAACATTTTGGTTATTATATTTTACGATCCTCTAATCTTTTGTGTGTTTATATAAGGGTGTTTTTGTCCAATCATAAATTATTACTCCTATGTACAGAATTCTAAACATCAGCTCATATTTTGCATTATAGTCTTGTTTGTCTTCTATGGTGAGAATTTTCTCAAAAAAATTCTTGGAACAGTGTTAATATTAATAAAGATATAATCTCTCATGAAAAAAGTATTTAACAACATCTAATAAAATGAATAGCACTAGTTTTACTCTCCCATGACAAATTGTCTAAAAATTAATGAATATATTATATTATTAGCATATTTGGATCATACTGAAGTAAGATATTCAAATTCCGTAATTTGAAAAAATGAACAACATAATTTAAATACTAGGGAATGTTAATTTGATACCATATTAATCATGTCGTAAGAAATTACAAAAAGTTGAAGCACAAGAATAGACATCTATAAATAATACTATCTATAACTATCTACACCTTCACCATAGTTATCTCAATACTTTAATTCAACCAAATATATCATATTGCTTTGGAGAATGTCTAGCAATAATGAGAATAAGAGAGTTAGTAAGGGAAGCCAAAGGATCCCTCTCATCAAAATTGAGAATGAGATTAGCCGTCAAGTAACATTTTCCAAACGTCGTTCTGGCATATTCAAAAAAGCTAGTGAGTTGTCAACTTTGTGTGGTGTGGATATTGCTATGGTGATATTTTCACCTGCAGATAAGGTTTATACTTTTGGAAGCCCAAGTGTCGATGCAGTACTTAACAAATACTTTAGTGAAAACGCTACACCAGAGGCAGGTGTGACCGATGAGATTATTCGTGCACATTATGAAGACAACATGAGAATCGTTACACCGCAAATAAGTGACATGGAATCTCTTGTTCATGATCTAACGAAAGAAAGTCAAGCTCACTGTGAATCTGAAAAAGGTGGACCACTTATTTCAAATCTACAATTGCATGAGTTGGAGAATATGAAACATAGCTTGGAAACACTTTCTTCTCAAACTTATGAAACATTAAAGGAACCTTTGATGCAAGTTCAATCTCATGACCTAGCCACTCCAATGGATAGAGGTAGCTTGTATGGTCCCTTCTCATATGTTCGAATCAATAATGACGGTTCTGGACCAAGTGGAACAAGCTAGCTCATAACTAAAATGGTTCTTTCAGCATCATGCATGGATGAGCAGAGTTATTTTCTATATTCGTATTCGGCTTAAAATTTCCTATGTTATTATGTGTGATTGTCATCAATAAAAATGTATCTGTGTTATTTTTTCTGGAATAATTAATTTTTTTATTAGGAAAGGTTACGTTAATAGACACGTTATTTTGTAAACCTGTGGTCAACCTTGCTAATAAATAAGATACTTTTGAGTAGTGAACGCTAGAGACGTGAAAGTAAGAATGTGCATACTTTAGAATCGTGCTCCAATAGGAGACATTTATGTGTTGAAGACTTCATGTACTTTAAATTTTAGTTGAAATCAAAATAAAATTACTTAAATGGTTATGTTTCCCTCTTGTTTTTTTGAAAGGAAAAACCGCTTATATTAATATCATTAAGATTCAGATCGTTACAACAATAAAATGCCTTTCCCCGGTAAAAATCAAGTAAAAAAGTTCAATTATATATGTTTTGAGAGTCTTCCACAAATTGAGACACGTGTTAGTCCATCTTGAGGGTGGACCGGGCCAAGTATAGGTTACCCGAAGTCCGAAAGCTTTGCACTCCGTTGCTCATCTAACAAAAAATGTGATGATTCGAAGTCTGAAATTAAAACATAAATTTATGTGTTAGGGGCATTTGTAATACCAATAACAAACAAATAAGTGAAGCTAAAAATTCATCCCTTCATGCGAATAAACCAAGACAGATGCATATATTCATATAGAAAAAGATTCCTTTCTGATGCATCAAACAACTACATATGGTGTTTCATAAGAAAACATAGAGCAAGTTGTGGGTGGCACATTTGACTTCACTGTCTTTCTTTCCCTCTACTTTTCAGCATTGTGGAATAGACAACATTTCATTAAATAAGCAAACCACTGCCAGAGATTTTGATTCACGAGAAATTCTAAAATAAAAAAAGACAGTAAAAAGAACATCAAGAATAGTAGTAACTAGGTGGGTGAATAGCACAAACTGTACATAATTGGGATGCAAAAAAACCTAATAATCGTCAAAGCTAACTAACCAATAGCTTGGGGCATCTAAAAACACACAAGACAAACACCTGTGGGGTAGTGGACAGAACACAGAGTTATTCATTCTTCTGGCAAGCCTGCACTAGAAAAATTCTAAAAAAGATTCAACTTTTGAGCTTTTTTTGTGGAGCAACCCCCTTTTGAGAGTCTCACATGCACTTATCAAATGAACTGCTCAAGAAGAGAAAAGGAAGAAGAATAAGAAAAGAAAGACTTGACTAATCAAGAGAGAGAAACAATGAAATCGTTGAAAAAAGCCGTCTCCCTTCTATAATATCTCTATTTACCTCTGTTTCTTTTTTAAGAAATTACACCACTTCTTTTTCTTCACCTTCAAGTCTCCCACACAAGAACTTGCAACTGAAATAATCATTTCTAGTGATTAGAGAAGGAACTAATGAATCAATCAGTGAGTATATTCTAACAAAATTTGAAATACTACTTCCTCAGAAGTATAAAATTTTACATACTGTAAACTAATAAAAATATTTCTATGTACTCTCTCACCTGCAGGAGAGTAGCTAGAATTGACTTCCTCAGAAGTATAAGTCCCTTGATCTGAGTGGTTGATACCTCCTTCATGAGCATAAATAGAATTATAGTGCACCTCTGCCCAAAAAACTCAAATATATGATTGCATGGAGAGATGAAAGGTCAAAGTGTCACATTACCTTAAGAAAAACTACACTAATGCTCAAATTGGGAAAAGAAATCTTTAAATCTATTGCACAAAATATGCACATGATCCACACACACTGTGCACACACTATTCACAGAGTTTACACAGGACATTACTATATACACCGCAACAACAAAAACTGACACTATGATCATCATTGAAGTATCGGTGTCTTATTACTAATACAAAACTCTTATGATATTTTGGAAAAATGTTAATAAGAGCTGTGTATTAAGGCCACAGTCAAATTTTCCTCTTTGAAGATATGATCAATAGAAACAGAGATGATGAAACAAATCACTTCTCTTAGTGGAAATTGGTTCTTATGGAAAGGTAGAAGTCAAGCAAAGCACAAAATCATATCTTGCAATGCACAATCTGCCATTATTTTCATTTTTTTATTGATCTTTCCAGTTAGTTAAAATAGAAAGATTTCTCTTCATGTAGTAAATGCATTTTCCATAATAAATTTCTCTTCGATTGTATCAACTGATATAGAAAGTTAGAAATGTACCACATTTAGAAGAATCAAAAGGAAATTACCTCTATATGACTTTTGTGTCCTTGATAGAATCTCGATGAAACAGGTCTCCTTGTATGATGTTATGCCAACAATCTTCACACCATACTGTCCAACAAGCAAAAAGTATCACCAACATAAGTTGTTACGAAATATTATTATATGTAATATAAACTAGTTTGTAAAGAACTAGATTAATACCAAGTTAGCAACAGCCTGCAATATTACATGATCACCCCACTCTCTATCCCTGAATTTGTTAATAGTAATTAATAAATTCATACTATATTTAGTTAAAATAAGAACAGTATGAAACTAAAGAAATAGGAAAAGTAAAACAACGGAGAAGAACTGAGTAGTACTCCATCATCCTCTTCAAACAACCACCATAAGCCATTGGTACGTACGCATCATACACCTCTGGGTGATTCATAAGCTGATGGAATTGAAAATTAAAAAAGATCACAATGAATATGCGCTCAAGGAAATCCATATTAAGTATCAGTAAAAATAAGATCTACTGAAAATCACCTGATTAACAACTTGTTGTCTCACAAAAATGTGACATTCGAGCATCCGATAAAACGGATCTGATAGAGCACGGAACTGGAAGAGAACACCATAATAAGAGAGGTTTTATTTAAAAGTCAACAAGAGAATGAAATCTGCAACTAAATGGAACAATGAAGGAGATAACCTGACAGCTCCCATCCCATTCAACTATGTTCTCAACCAGACCACAACGCTGCAATCAAAAACAGAAATTATGAAAGTGGAGAAGAAAACGTATGTAAAAATAACTTTGTCCAAACGTTATAAAGTCACTAAGAACCTTAATGAAAAACGAAAAGGTTTCAAGATGTCCAAAGGCAGAATTATGCAAATATCATGAAAAAGTATCAAGAACTTTTTCCAAATGAATATTTTTCAGGAAATGTGCATTTTTTTACTTTGATAAACTTTCAAAAGCAAAAAATGTGTCAGTCCAATTACTGCTCATTGGGTATTTGAAGTATCTCTTGGTTGTTTTTAGGTTTTTAGCTCACACAGTACTTGCACTACACATGCACATAAGTTACATTGTTACTGTTTCTGCATTCATGCTTTACAAATCATTACACCTAAACATAATAAAAAACCCAGTTGACACTTCAAAATGAAGCTTGTCTAAGAAACATCAGCAATGTCTCTTTAATGAAAACTTTTCCAAAGACTAGCAATTACCTATGTAGAAAACTTTTCAAGTAGGGGCCGGGCCTGAAGCCATATCTCATAAAGAAATGCTTCTAAATAGGTAATTGCTAGTCTTTGGAAAGGTTTTCAATAAAGAAACATTATTGATGTTTCTTAGACAAACTTCATTCTGAAGTGTGAACTGGTGTTTCCTTATTATGTTTAGGTGTAATGACTTTTAAAGCATGAGTGCAGAAACACTGACAGTGTAACTTATGTGCATGTTTAGTGCAAGTACTGTGTGAGCTAACAACCTAAAAACAACCTAGACATACTATAAATACCCAATGAGCAGTAATTGGATTGAAACTTTTTTGCTTTTGAAGTTTATCAAAGTAAAAATTATGCACATTTCCTGAAAAGTATTCATTTGGAAAAAGTTCTTTATACTTTTTCATGATATCTACATAATTCTTCCTTTGAACATCTTGAAGATTAAATAGTGCACATTTAATGAAAAGTATTCATTTGGAAAAAAGTTCTTTATACTTTTTCATGATATTTGCATAATTCTTCATTTGGAAAGAGTCCATATGTTTTGGACTCTCAAAACATATATAATTGAACTTTTTTAGTTGAGTTTTAGCAAGGAAAAGCATTTTATTGTTGTAATGATCCGAATCCTAATGATATTAATATAAACGGTTTTTCCTTAAAAAAATAAAACTAGTCAGAAACATAGCCATTTAAGTAATTTTATTTTGATTTAAACTAAAATTTTAAAGTACATGAAGTCTTCAACCATAAATGTCTTCTACTGGAGCACGATTCTAAAGTATGCACATTCTTATTTGCACATCTCTGGCGTAACCTTTCAAAATGAAAACATTAATTGCAGTAAAACAACTTTTTTTGTTCCGGAAGGCAAACCACCTAAGTCGGTGGGGCAAATGCCGGGAAACATTTGCCAGATTTTATTAAAATAGAATTAAAAATACAGCAATAGAATTAAAATAACATAGAGACATTTTTATTGATGACAATCACACATAACATAGGAAATTTTAAGCGGAATATGAAATTAGAAAAATAACTCTCCTCATCCATGCATGATGCTCAAAGAACCATTTTAGTTATAAACTAGCTAGTTCCACTTGGTCTAGAACCGTCATTATTGATTCGAACATATGAGAAGAGGCCATACAAGCTACCTCTATCCGTTGGAGTGGCTAGGTATGAGATTGAACTTCCATCAAGGGTTCCTTTAACGTTTCATAATTTTGAGAAGAAAGCGTTTCCAAGCTGTTTCATATTTTCCAACTCATGTAATTGTAGATTTGAAATAAGTGGTCTACCTTTTTCAGATTCACAGTGAGCTTGATTTTCTTTCGTTAGATCATGAACAAGAGATTCCATGTCACTTATTTGGGGTGTAATGATTCTCGTGTTGTCTTCACAATGTGCACGAATAATCTCATCGGTCACACCTTCCTCTGTTGTAGCGTTTTCACCAAAATATTTGTTAAGTACTGCATTGACACTTGGGCTTCCAAAAGTATAAATCTTATTTGCAGGTGAAAATACCACCATAGCAATATCCAAACCACACAAAGTAGACAACTCACTAGATTTTTTGAATATGCCAGAACGACATTTGGAAAGGGTTTCTTGACGGTTAATATCATTCTCAATTTTGGTGAGAGGGATCCTTTGGCGCCCCTACTAACTCTCTTATTCTCATTATTGCTAGACATTCTCCAGAGCAATATGATATATTTGGTTGAAATAAAGTATTGAGATAACTATGGTGAAGGTGTAGATAGTTATAGATAGTATTATTTATAGAAAACTATTTTGTGGTGAGAGATGTGTGCATATTAGGAGGGATGTGAGGGATGGGAGAAGAAAGGTGAGATGGAAGAAGAAAGAGCAAGTGAGTGATGGGATAATAGTTAGAGCTATGCTAAAGGTACCCCAAAGTTGTACCCCATTTTTACACCACTCCTAATGTGTGGCCATAAATGGGGCAACTCATTTAAGTGGGGCACCACTTAAATGAGTTGCCCCATTTATGACCACACAATTAGGGGTGAGGTAAAAATGGGGTACAACTTTGGGGTACCTTTAGCATTTTACTAATAGTTATAGATAGTACGGATTATTATTTATAGATACCAATGAGATCATGAATTTAGCACTTGGGGATTTACATAAGAAAATTTTGGACCTAAAAATCTCGAGCTCATATATATATATATATATATATATATATATATATATATATATATATATATATATATATATATATATATATATATATATATATATACATACACACACACACACACACACTCTATATGTACATTATTGATGTCATATTAAAGAGAATAACAAATCATGAATTTTGATATATTATTTATAAATATTGGAAAATAAATAAGAAAGTTATAATAGTTTTTAAAAAATGAAGTAATTAGATACCCGAAACTTTATATAAAAAATTTAAATGCCCTAAACTTTATATAAAATAAGATTTATGGGTAAACTTATAAAAATATCCCAAACTTTGAAGGGGTGTGAGGTAAATACCCCAAACTTGCATATGTAATTTAAATACCCTAAACTTTATATAAAAATTTATTTTCGCACCATTATCATGTAATATTTCTTTCAAAAATGAATTTTTATGGGGTTATTGCATAATTTAAAATAGGAAAATTAAAAGTGTTGCAATTTTATAGATTGGGGGTAACATTATTTATTTTGCAATGGAAATTTATAATGTTAATTGTGTCTTCATGAATTCTAAAATATTTTAAATTATGCAATTAACACGTACCATAATTTTACATTTTTGAAATAAATAATACTTCACTATGGTGTTGAAATAAATTTTTATATAAAACTTAGGGTATTTAAATTACATATGCAAGTTTAGGGTGTTCATCTCACACATCTTTAAAGTTTGATGTATTTTAATTATTTTCCCCTTAGATATATATGTGACAAAAATAAAGATTATTTATAAAAAATGTGACTAGTGACTAGAATAGTAATGAAGTAATAATAACTTATGTTTAATTTTTAAACTTACGTTATCGTGACACTACATCATACTAACTATTAGTCATATTTGTGTAAATAAATTTTGTTTTAGTAACATTTTTGAAAAAATCGGAAAGAAAATAGGGAATTTTATTTCTAAGTGGACCCGACCCGTGCATTAATTCCTCTTGCGGTCAGCCTAACAAACTACTCTCAAGTTCTCATAATCTCAAATGGGTCATTTCGTCAGTTGAAAATCCAGAGCCCGAAGCCAAAAAGACCGAGACTTATCTGGAACATTACTCCACAGAGCTAAAATCAAATCGCAGCATGGCGAATCCTAGAAGGGTCCTCTTACTATGCGGTGATTATGTGGAAGACCACGAGGTTTCAAACTTTCAACTCTAAGTTTAGCAAACTAGTGCTAAATTTTCTCCATGTTTTCTATGTGAAATGATTTGGTGCAGGTGATGGTTCCATTTCAAGCGCTGCTCGCTTACGGAGTGGCCGTCGACGCCGTTTGCCCCGGGAAGAAATCCGGCGATATTTGTAGAACTGCTGTTCATCAACTTGGCTGTCACCATGTATGTCTTATTTGGACTAGTATTTGGATTTATTTATAAAAACATGAACCCGAAAACCTATATGATAATTGTGCTGTCCGCACTTGATTTCGTGTGTGATTTTGGTTCTGTGTTGGAATGGAAAAATTGAAGTATTGCATTTCCCCTTTCCATGGTACCATCTCCAAATCACCTGAATCTGGATGGCTGGATGGTATATATCAATGAATATAAGATTGTTTGTGCAATTGACATTAATCTGGACATACTGAAGTTATAGCATCCAAAAGCTAGTATCTTTAAGTGTATGAAGACGGACTAAAATTATTCTTCTGGATTGTTTGGTACTTGATTTAGTCTCTTTTAGGTAGTATGTTGTAATGAATGTTAAATACACCACCTGGTGCTTGATAAAAAAATCACATAATAAGGCTGAAGGTGGGGTAATTCAATTATACCGTGTGATTTGGCTCATGCTTATTTTTATTGAGATTGACCCATCTCCAAATATAGGCCCTGTTAGTGCTAACCAATAATAATGCGTGATTTTTTGCTTTTCTCATTTTAGTTAAAAACAGATGATTTAAGTACTCTATTGCATTTTTTTGGCATTACTGACCAATGCCTTATTATTAATTACTCTAGACATATTCCGAGTCCCGAGGTCACAACTTTTCACTCAATGCAACATTTGATGAAGTAGAAGTGTCAAAATATGATGGGTTGGTCATCCCAGGAGGACGTGCCCCAGAATATTTGGCTCTTAATAAGCAGGTATTGGAGTTGGTCAAACAATTTGTCAGCTCTAATAAGCAGATTGCTTCTATCGGCCATGGACAATTGATCTTGGCTGCTGCAGATATAGTCAAAGGCCTAAAGTGCACAGCTCTTCCTCCTGTAAAACCTGTTCTTATAGATGCTGGTGCACATTGGGTAGAACCAGAGACAATGGCTTCATGCATTGCTCATGGGAATCTCATTACTGGGGCAACCTCTGAAGGGAATCCTGAGTTGATCAGGCATTTTCTCAAGGCACTTGGAGGAAAAATAATTGGGTCAAGCAAAAAAGTTCTATTTCTATGCGGAGTAAGTCATATCCGTTTTGTTTTATTGAATAGGAAAAAAAGTATGTTAAGAGTTCTTCTACCTTCTGAGTTAAAATGGCTTCTTTATAAAGTTTTTGATTTACCTAACTGATAAATTCAATTATCTGTACCCGTACAGTCTGCTTTGAATCTAATGTACCACCATTTTCCTTTTTGCGATTGAGGTTTTTTCTTATTAGTCGGAGATTTCTAGTATATTTCTTTTAGTTGTTATACATGTTTGATGTTTTCAGCTGCTTGTGTAATGAAATGCATATTTTTTACATAGTTTGAATAAATGGCTTAAATATGTTTTTTCGTTTTTCGTCCATGTAAATGTAATATATTTCAAAATATTATTTTAATTTATTCTATGGCCCTATACTTTGTGGTTATTCATTCCTGTAATTTGCATTTGTTCTTATTTTAGTCATCTCTGTCATCCTTGATTTTAAAAAACCGACGTGGCTCACTGAATTTTAGTGTAATTTTTCAGTGGCATTTTTAATGTTCTTTATTTAATTTCCAGAGAGTTAGAGAGGCATAGAGTCAAAAATGGAATTGTAATTTTGGTTTAGCCCTAATTCCCCTAATAGTTTCCGATGAGTTATAAAAATGTATAAGAGTGCTAAATTGGAGTTCTGTGACCTAAAACCAAGCGGGAGAAAACAAAGTTTTACTCTGAACGTTATTTCCAGGAATGAAAAACACTTGTGCTTTTGATTCAATTATTACTGCAACTTATACCTGGGTTTCATAGTGTGTTATGTTTTCTGTTCCATTAATGGGTCTTCATCAGACTGGATTACTGAAAGTCTGAAACGTTTCAATTCTGTTTCCTTTAGGATTTCATGGAAGACTATGAAGTGGCAGTGCCTTTCCAGTCCCTACAGGCACTTGAGTGGCATGTTGATGCCGTTTGTCCAAGGAAAAAGGCAGGTGAGAAATGTCCAACTGCTATTCATGATTTTGAAGGTGACCAAACTTACAGTGAGAAGCCTGGTCATGATTTTACCCTAAATGCTAGTTTCGAAGATGGTGTCTGTGCTTCAAGCTATGACGGGCTTGTCATTCCCGGTGGGCGAGCTCCAGAGTATTTGGCACTGGATAATCATGTTCTTAGATTGGTAAAGGAATTTATGGAGTCCAACAAACCGGTTGCATCAATTTGCCATGGTCAACAGATATTGTCGGCTGCAGGTGTTCTCAAGGTAACACGTTACTCATGCTTTTCTATTTATTATTAATTTTTATGTAGTTCACACACCAAAGGGCCTGTTTAGTTGGAAGGGACTTGGAGGAAAAGATTTTGGAGGGCTTAGCCTGCATATTGTCTAGATATATATAGTACTCCGTAGAATGTCTAATTTCTAAAGTCCAGGGTTTGTCTCACATTGGCTAAATATAAAATACCAAACCGACTTAGAAGATGTTCTCTTCACCTGATCTGAATGTTTTTGATTTGAATTTTTTAAGTTCTGATCTGAGCTGAATTTTTCTGATCTTTCTGAATCTCTCTTATCTGATCTGAATCTTTCTGATTTGATCTGAATCTTTCTGATCAAGTCTGATCTGATGTGAATCTTTATGATCTGATCTGAATCCTTCTTATCTAATCTGAATCCTTCTTATCTGATCTGATTTGAATACTTCTAAAATTATATATATAATTATTATTATTATAATTTTAATTATAAATATAATTTTAATATAATTATAATCATAATTATAAAAAATTATAATTATAATTAAAATTGACATTTTATAATAGGTACGATTATTATTATAACTATTATTACACTAAATATAATAATAGCTATAATTATAATTTTTATAATATTTGTAATTATAATTATTTCTATAATTATAATTGTAATTGTAATTAGAATATTAATTTCTATAATTATAATTATTATTACTCCGTATAATTCTAATAATAATAATAATAACAATAGTAAAAATAGTAATAATAATAGTAATTGTAATAATAATAGTAATAATAATAACAATAATAATAATAATTATAATAATAATACTAAAAATAATAATAATTATTATTATTATAATAATAATAATATTAAAAATAATAATAAAAAAAAATAATAATAATAATATTAAATCATTATTATTATTATTATTATTATAAGAAAAAAAGATAAATCATGCCTGAACTTTTCTGATCTGATATGATCTAAATATTTCTGATCTGATCTGAATGTTTGTGATCTGATCTGAATGGTTGTGATCTGATCTGAATCTTTCTGATCTGATCTGAATCATTCTGATCTGGTCTGATCTGAATCTTTCTAATCTGAATAATAAAATAAGAATAAGCAATAAGTTATAAAAATAAGACTAACAGAACAACTTCTTATTTGTCTATTGGCTGGTATAAGTTTGACCTTTTAAGATGATACTTGTCTTAATATGCATCTATCAAAGTGTACCCTAAGGGTGTGTTTGGGAGTTGGGTTTTGGAAGGGAGGGGAAGGTTAACGGGGATTTATGGCCCTCCTTTTCATGTTTGGGAGTTCAAAAAATTGGAGGGGTGGTTTTGAAGGGTTTTTGTAACCCTTCAAAACCCTCCAAATGCATGATTTTTAAGTTCCTCCAATTCGGAGAGATTTGGAGGATAATTAACAAGATGGTAATTTAAGCGAAATTAGAATTGAATATCAGCTCAATGATTTGAATTCATCATATCTCAAAGTGATTTTAATTATAATTCCTTCAAAAATCTTCCCCTTCCAATTTTATTACTCCCAAATACAAAGAAGGGTTTGCTCATCCTCCCCTCCCTTTCCCTCCAACAACATACCTCCAAAGCCTTCCCCTCCTCTTCCCTCCAAACTTCCAAACATACCCTAAAGGATTCATATATGCTTATAACCCACCCCCCAGTAAGCTGTAAGCATTCTAAGCTATAGTCATTATTCACTACTCTCTGCCCCCAGGTTGACTTAGATCCCACTGAAACCTGATTAGTTCCTGTTTCGGGACAAGTAAATGGTTGATGTAACAGAATTGGTTTGGAATGCAGGGGAAGAGGTGTACTGCGTACCCTGCTGTAAAACTGAATGTGGTTCTTGGAGGGGGCACATGGTTGGAACCGGAACCAATAGACAGATGCTTCACTGATGGAAATCTGGTGACAGGGGCTGCTTGGCCAGGTCACCCGGAGTTCATTTCTCAGTTCATGTCATTGCTCGGAGTGCGTGTAGCTTTCTGAATTTGTAGCAAGGCGTCATAGGTGTCTAGCAGCAGGTCTCATGTCACCCATACAATCCCAAATAGAAGAAAGGCAGCGAGTGTTTCAATAAAAGGCATCATGTGTATCTCTTTCTTAGGATTAAGACCTTAAAATTTGCATTTGTATTATATGTAACTCAGTAACTGGTGCCTCTCTCAATCGTATCAAAAACCTTATATGAAAAAATGAAAGGAGTTTTCTCAATCCAGAGTTTTGATGAATTTTAAATACAACCAGCTGATGATAAGACTGATACTAGTTAGCTACTGTGTATATGAGTAACAAAGATCTATCATCATAACAGTACAAATAAGAAGCAGCAGTCATTGGATTTATTTGCCTTTGGAAGGTTCGTTGTTTTACATACACTTATTTGACCTGGACACGTGGTCGTCAAACCAGTTTATCATGTCTTGATGCGCCTCTGCTGCGCTATTGACAGCAAAAGTATTATTGACAAAGTACCTAATGGTCCATCCATGACAAACACGGGGGTACATCTTCACTAGGTGATCAATCTGTGCAATTATTTATTAATCAATTAATACATTAAGTAATTAAACGGTGTCCTTATCGTTGATTGATAGTAGTAATATTGTATTTTATGAAATCACTAATGACTTGCCTTATGCTCAGGAGATGATAAAATCTCATTAAATAGTGTCATCTGTGCTACTGGCAAACCATTATCACGTTCAGCTCCCAAAACAGCTATTGGGACTTCAACCGCTGCCACAAACAAAAACAGCTTTTTTTTAGTCATGGAACTGCACGAACATTTGATGCGAGCTTTGCTTTATCAAGTGTGTATGACTAAAACTATGGAGTTTCTATCCAAAAACTAACATGCATATATTTGAAACATACCTTTCATCTCCTCAGCAGTGACATTACTAGGATGCAACAGAACTGCAGCCTGAGCTTCTCCCGTACTTGCCAGCTTCACGGCTACCTTTCCTGATCCATCAAATTGAGCGCATTCAACCGATAAGCGAGTCGAATTGACACCGTATGAACCTACATGTCTCTTTTTAATCATTTATATATGCATGAGACGTTTAAAAATTGTAGCTGACCGACCTCCCCAGCAAAACCCGGCTACCCCAATGGCAGATATGCCATTTTGTTTCAAAGCATCAATTACTGATTTGGCATCTTCATATCCTTTTTCCTGCAATTCACCATGCAAAAATATGTACGTGTACTAGCTGTGTGAATAAGCATATAATTTACTATAAATAATCACCCAGTCATTACCATGGTTATTAATAGTGTTAAGCCAGTAAACAAATTATATACTCTTGTAAATTGTTCCACTAACCGCTGTATGATTTAGCTTCCAAGCGGCTTTATCATATTTAGGGTTGCCTGGGTTAGCAGAGTCACCATGGAAGAAATCAGGAGCCACAACTAGGAACCCAGCACCTGAAATTTTGTCTGCAACGCTTCTGCAAACCAAAAATTTTCTATCAGGACTTGGTTTTATATTTTGTTTTCTGTTTATGTGGGATGACTTAATCTTTGTCTTAGGTTACTTACTCTTTTAGGTCATAAAATGCATGACTTAATTAGTACTCATTATGTTGGTTTGTCACATTCTTAGACACGTAGTACATGTAGAATTCCAGCTCCCAGCAAGCCCACTCCATCCTTCATACCATGGGATGGTCTTCCATCTCCTGCCCACTGAAGAGAAGCATGGAGAGGCATGGAGAGGAGGCATGGGTTGTAGAATGGGTTGTAGCATGGGTACCAATGAATATGTCTCCAGCCTTGCCTATAAATAGAATACTCTTCCATTGTTCAAATGCATCAAAAATCAGAGAGAAAAGTAGTGAGAGTGATACACATATAGTGAGTGTATGAAAGGGTTGGTTTTTTTGTAATAGTTGAGTGAGAGAGTTGCTCCTCCTATTGTAATTCTGTTCTGGTTATGAATAGAAGAATTTTTCAATCCTAACAAGTGGTATCAGAGACAGTTTAGTCCAGAAATCCAGATTTCACCATTTTACTCGAATTTTTGGTCAAAATATTTTTGTTCCAGAATCTTGTTTTGAGAATACCATTAGAAAGCTCTCGTTTTGAGGATTCCAAAAATATATTTTTTATGAATTTTTTGAGCACCGGAAGGCCTCCAAACGTCCGGTCAAAGTTTCTCTCTCCTGCCAGTCAAGCCACTGCAGTACTCCAGTCCGGCAGCAACCTCGCCGGAGAAGACGACCAGTCATCTAGCCACGTCATCACCAGGTCACGCCACGTCATCGACACGTCAGCGCCAAGTCATCTGCCACGTCATCGACGACCGGCCAATTGGACCACCTGTCGGTGCCACGTCAGCTGCCACGTCATGGACACGTCACTGCCATGTGGTGCCACGTCATCAGCCTGATTGGCTGCCCTCTGGTTTTGGCCAGAACCGGTCCGGTTCGGCTCGTGGTTCAACACTCCGGTTCACACCCTTTCTGCCCGGTTCTTGAAGAGGTGAGACCGGTACCCACCATTTTTGGCCATTCCGGATTCAACGGTGTGCTCCGTTGGGGCTAATTCAGCTTCCAAATTAAGGTACGGGAAAAATTGTACACTTTATCATGGAAAAATCATCATCGGATACCATGATTGCGCTAACTTCCACGAATTACAACATGTGGAAACCTCGGATGGAGGATTTGCTAAATTTGAAAGATTTAGCTGATCCTCTTGATAATAATGGCGTTAAACCAGATAAAAAGACGGATGAAGAATGGGCTAAGATGAACAGAAAAACTGTCGCACAAATCCGACAGTGGATTGATCATAGCGTGTTTCATCATGTTTCTCAAGAGCAAAGTGCTCACACACTATGGGAGAAACTTAGTAGCATGTACCAAGCCAAAACTGCTCGGAATAAAACGCTGTTGATGAGACGATTAGTGAACCACAAGTTACGTGGTGGCATTTCTGTGTCGGAACACACGAGTCAGTTCCAGGATCTTGTGAACCAATTGAGCACCACTGGATGGGTCCTCAAAGATGAAGAACAAGCAATACTTCTACTTAGCTCTCTACCTGATAATTGGGAGACTCTTGTTGTTACTCTCAGTAATTCTGCCCCAAATGGTACCGTGACTATGCAGATGGTCACGGACGCCTTGATGAATGAGGAAGCACGAAGGAAGGAAGCTGGGACTGATCAGTCTTATGCTCTCGTCTCAGAAATCAGCAGGCGAGGGGGAGACAGAAATGGAGGTAGAGGACGAGGACGAGGCAGAGGCAGAGCTCGAGGTCAAAGTAGAGGGAGATCTCAAGTTCGAGGAAGATCACAAGAGCGGGGGAAGTCCGTCGATACCAATACTTGGTTCGAGGGCTATTGCAACCATTGTGGTCATTATGGGCACAGAAAGAGGGAATGCCGAAAGTTTCTACGGGAGCAGCCTCAGACGAGTCAAAGTTCAAGCAAAGAAGATGGTGAGACCATGGTCACCATGGCACCAGACATTGCACTTGTTACTTGCGGAGAAGAAGCATGCCTACATGTAGGTACGCATGATATTGAATGGGTGATTGATACCGCTGCATCATTTCACGCCACTCCGCACCTAAATTTATTTGCAACTTATAATCCCGAAGACCATGGTGCTGTAAAGATGGGAAATACAAGTTTCTCAAACATTGTTGGCATTGGAGATGTGCACATTCAAACAAGTGTTGGTTGCACACTTGTGTTGAAAGATGTTCGACATGTTCCAGATCTGAGATTGAATCTTATCTCAGGAGTTGCTCTGGATCATCAGGGGTATGAAAGCCAATTCAAAGAAGGTACGTGGAAATTATCTAAAGGCTCTATGATTATTGCAAGAGGTCATATTTGTGGTACTCTTTACAAAACCCATGTAAAGTTGTGTCGTCCAAGTCTCAATGCTGTTCAAGGAGAGACATCACCAAATCTGTGGCATCGGAGGTTAGGCCACATGAGCGTAAAGGGACTGACAACTCTTGCAAAGAAGGAAGCAATTTCTATTGACAAAGATGTTGCTTTGGACCCCTGCGAACACTGTCTATTTGGGAAACAACATCGGGTTTCTTTCAGTTCCACTAGAAAAAATCATTCTGAGTTACTCAGCCTTGTCCACTCTGATGTATGTGGACCCATTGAAGAGGAGTCACTTGGAGGTAGCAAATATTTTGTGACATTCATTGATGATGCGTCACAGAAGGTATGGGCTTACTGTCTCAAAACTAAGGATCAAGTATTTGATCGCTTTAAAATATTTCATACTATGGTAGAAAGAGAGACATGAAAGAAGCTGAAGTGCCTTCGTTCTGACAATGGAGGCGAGTACACTTCTCGAGAATTCTCAACATATTGTGCTGAACATGGAATCAGACATGAGAAGTCAGTGTCACGGACCCCACAACACAACGGTGTAGCCGAAAGAATGAATCGAACTATCGTGGAGAAAGTTCGGTGCATGCTCAGTATGGCTAAACTTCCAAAGCCATTCTGGGGCGAAGCTGTGCTAACAACTTGCTATCTTATAAACAGGTCACCCTCAGTTTCCTTAAACTTTGAAGCTCCTGAGAAGAAATGGTCAGGAAAAGACATTTCTTACTCTCACTTGAAAGTGTTCGGGTGCAAGGCATTTGCACATGTGTCTCAGGAGTTGAGGCAAAAACTTGATCTTAAGTCAAACCCATGCATCTTCATCGGCTACGGAGATCAAGAATTTGGATACAGGTTGTGGGATCCTGAAATGAAGAAAGTCATTCGAAGCAGAGATGTGGTTTTTCATGAATCCCAATTTCATGAGTTTACTCCAACACACAACAAACAACATGCTCCTGAAGATGTTCCTGTAGTATCACACGTTCCTCTCAACAACGAGGAAGTGAATGATAATACTGAACAAGTGCACGATGGCCCAGTAGATGTTGATGATGTTCAAGATGATGAAGTTCCTGAGCAGGGGGAGCTTTCACATGAAGGCCTTGATGACAACGCTCAACTTCGACGTTCTACGCGAGGTACAGTTCCACAACGAAGATACCCGACATCTGAATGGATCCTTCTTACCAGCGAGGGGGAGCCAGAGAGCTTTCAAGAAGCTCAATCTCATCAAGACAAGTCCAATTGGTGGGAAGCCATGGGAGATGAGATGAAATCCTTGCAGAAGAACCAAACTTATGACTTGGTGCCACTTCCCAAAGGAAAGAAAGCCTTGAAAAACAAATGGGTTTTCAAGGTGAAGAAAGATGTCAATGGTAATATTGTGAAACACAAGGCAAGACTCGTGGTCAAAGGATTCCAACAAAAACAGGGAATTGACTTTGATGAGATTTTTCCGCCGGTTGTGAAGATGATGTCGATCCGAGTTGTACTCGGGTTGGTTGCCAGTCTAAATCTTGAACTTGAACACATGGATGTGAAAACTGCATTTCTCCATGGTGATCTAAAAGAAGAAATATACATGGAGCAACCTGAAGGTTTCCAAGTTCCAAAGAAAGAACATCTTGTTTGCAGGTTAAAGAAGAGCCTCTACGGTCTCAAACAAGCCCCGAGACAATGGTACAAGAAGTTCGACTCGTTCATGGTAGAGCACCAATACAGGAGAACAGTTGCAGACCACTGCGTGTACCTGAAGAAGTTCCCAGATGGAAAATTTATCATCCTTTTGCTCTATGTGGATGATATGCTTTTAGTAGGCCAAGATGTGTCTCTCATCAACAACTTGAAGCTAGATTTGTCTAAGTTTTTCGATATGAAAGACTTGGGCCCGGCGCAACAAATTTTGGGCATGAAAATTGTTCGTGATCGAAAGACAAGGAAGTTGTTCTTATCACAAGAGGAGTATGTTGAGCACGTGATGAAAAGGTTCAACATGGATAGTGCCAAGCCTGTAGGCACTCCGTTAGCCAATCACTTCAAGTTGAGTAAGGAAAGTTGTCCTTCTTCTGAGAAAGAAAAGGAGATGATGAAAGCGGTGCCCTACTCTTCAGCCGTTGGAAGTTTGATGTATGCAATGGTGTGTACAAGACCTAATATTGCTCATGCTGTTGGTGTTGTAAGCAGGTTCTTGTCAAATCCAGGAAGAGAACACTGGGAAGCTGTCAAATGGATACTCAGGTATCTGAAGGGTACATCAAAGCTGTGTTTGTGCTACGGGGGAGCGAAACCAATCTTGGAAGGTTATACAGATGCTGATATGGCTGGAGATCTTGATAGTAGAAAATCTACTTCAAGTTACATATTCAAACTAGCAGGGGGAGCCGTCTCATGGCAGTCCAAGTTGCAAAGGTGTGTAGCATTGTCTACGACAGAAGCTGAATACATTGCCGCTGTTGAAGCTGGGAAGCAGCTCAAGTGGCTGAAATGTTTTCTCCAAGAGTTGGGCTTTCCTCAAGAGGAGTACATCATTCATTGTGATAGTCAGAGTGCTATGGATCTTAGCAAGAACTCAATGTATCATTCACGCACAAAACATATCGATGTTCGATATCACTGGCTTAGAGAAGCAATTGAGAAAGATGAACTAAAGCTCTCCAAGATACACACAAACAAAAATGCGGCAGACATGCTAACTAAAGTGGTACCACACGAGAAGCACAAGCTATGTACAAACATCATTGGAATGAGAGAATTACGGAAGAAGCTGGAGGGGGAGATTTGTAGAATTCCAGCTCCCAGCAAGCCCACTCCATCCTCCATACCATGGGATGGTCTTCCATCTCCTGCCCACTGAAGAGAAGCATGGAGAGGCATGGAGAGGAGGCATGGGTTGTAGAATGGGTTGTAGCATGGGTACCAATGAATATGTCTCCAGCCTTGCCTATAAATAGAATACTCTTCCATTGTTCAAATGCATCAAAAATCGAAGAGAAAAGTAGTGAGAGTGATACACATATAGTGAGTGTATGAAAGGGTTGGTTTTTTTGTAATAGTTGAGTGAGAGAGTTGCTCCTCCTATTGTAATTCTGTTCTGGTTATGAATAGAAGAATTTTCCAATCCTAACAGTACAGAGTATCATTTTGTGAAACAATAAACTCCTAGACAGCCTGAAGGGCTCAAGAGATATCCCAAGTCCCAACCACTTATTTTTTTATATTTATTCTTAACCACATTGGTGGATAGGGTAAATTACACCGTAAACCGGCTGTACCTAGAGTATGGTAGAGCAGGTTTTTTTTGTAATTAAATCCAACTTATAGGGCAAAGGTTGGTCGGTGGTTGCTGTTGATTTTCTTTTTCTGCCGCCACTTTCGTTGTTCTTCGTCATTTTTTTCTTTTTTCGTTGATGGCTGCTAAGGCTTTACTCCTCTTTCTTGTTTTTTTTTTGTTTTCTCTTTTCTTTCGTTGCTTTTCAATTTAGGAGATTTCTATGGTGCCTGTGTTAATTTACGCGGCACCGGTGGTCCGGTACCCAGCTGCTTTTAGTGGAGTTCAAATTTTTTTACGGAGTATTTAGTTGCAGTTCAAATTCACACACGTCTTGCTTTTACTGGCCATCTAAGTAGATGCACCATTACACACTCCTAAATACTACAAGCATCTTAGAAGGATCCTTCAATTTATTGCTTTTCACTTTTTCCTTTCTCTTCTTTTGTTGTTCTCTTTTCTGATCTTTCTTTTCTTTGTTTTCTCTTTAACATGCTTTACTTTTTATATACTACCTCCGTCCCACTAAGATTTAAACAAAAGAATGTGACACGATTATTAAGAAAAGTGAGTTTGTGCGGTTGATATTAAATTAATAAAGTAAGAATAAAGTAAGAATGATTTAGAGCCACACAATCTTTACCAAATTTGGTATGGGACAATCTTAGTGGAACTTCCCGAAAAGGTAAAATGGAACAATCTTAGCGGGACGGAGGGAGTAATTGTTATGCAAATTTATAATATTAAATATGGTTAATGTTTGAGATTGTTTTTTCTTCTTTTTCCAATCAACCTTCTAATTTGAGTTTTTTTTTTTTTAATTTCTGCATTATATGTAAGCTCATTTGGTACTAATATTATGCTCATATTAAAATGTTATATCAATGCATATGTGAAAAGTAGCATATTACATTAGATTCAAGTAGGATTTAGTTACAGATACGAGAGCACAGACCATGATATTCAATTGTATGTTCTTATGATTTTCCTACTAATGCTCATTTATAATTTACGAACGCTCAATCGGTACTCAATAGCACGTTTTTAATACTCAGTAGAGGAGATTTAATGTTCAATGAAAAATGTCTTGATGCACAATTATTTTCATATGCTCAATCGATACTGATGTTATACTCATTTTTAAAATGTCATATCAATGCATATTTCAAAGGTATCATATTACATTAGATTCACATATTGAACTTCACAGGGATTGATTGTAGATATCATTTAATATGTTTCTATAAAAGAAAAATATAAAAAGAAAGTGAATTAGAAGATGTGAAGCAAAGAGTGTGATGTTCAATATTAGACTCCTAATACTCAACACAATAGGTTTATTGCTAATTAAAAGTTCATTAATGCTCATTTAACAGAAAACGTTATTTTCATCTCAATATAGGAGGTTTGATGCTCAATGAAAATGTTGTGACGTCCAACTAACAAACCTTACGATTTTCATACTTATGCACTTTTTGAAAGTTACGTATGCTCATTTGATACTGATATTATGCTCATTTTTTAAAATGATATATCAATGCATATTTTAAAAATATCATATTACATTAAATTCGCATATTGAAATTTATAGAAGTTGATTATAGATATAATTTAATAAGTTTTTATAAAAAAATAAGAAAAAGAAAGTGAATTACGAAAATGTCACCGTTTTTTTTGTTGCGATATCAGCTTTCTTGTAATAACACGGTGCTCATTAAAATTGGACTATTCCTCATTAACAGTACACTAATGCTCATTTATCAAAAACCGTGATTTTCAAATTAATTACAAAAATGCCACCGAATTATTTTGCAATTTTTTCCTTGGGCCTATTACGTATGGACTTATTATGGGCATGTTTAGCTGCCTACTAGTTTGTTCCTTTACGGTGCTCACCGTACAACCGGATGTATGATATATGAATCCAGTGGATAGTTGATTACGTCATTTCTATTAGAATTTTATTCTTAATTTTTTCAGTAGAAAGATACGGAGTACTACGGAGTATCTTTCGGAAAATTAAAACAAATTGTTTTTCAGCTTTTTGCTTTAAAAAAGCTGAAATTGGTGTTTTCAAATAACAGCTTCTGCTTAAATTAAGTACTCAAAAGCTAAAAGCTGGTAGCATTATCTGGGGTGCTTTAAAGTGTTTTTCATTTTTTCTATTATACAAAAAACATTTATTTTATCAAACACTGTCAACTTTTACTTTTTCAGAAGCATTTTTTTTCAAACACTAATAACTTTTACTACTAAGCACTTTACCAAAATCACTTTAAAAAGCACTTTTTTAAAAGTAGAAGCAATCACAAACACTCCCTAAGTTTGTTAATATTTATGTACCAAAAAAGTGTAAATTTTTAATCTATATGGAATATCTCAATTAGAAATACCTTTTACTTAGTACGGACTATTTTATTATAATTTTCTTATCAATTACTCCCTTTATCCGATGTAAAGGTTCTCACTAACCTCTTTTGGATGTCTAATTTAAAGGTTTTAAGATATATAAGTAGCAACTCTTAAATGACAATATAAATATATAATCATCAAATATTAAAACTAATACACTTGTAATGTCACAATTATATTGCATTATATTATATGTCCACAAAAACTATGTAGTACTTCTCGTATTAATTTGTCTTCTCATATCTATTTAAGTTATATAGCCATTTAACCATAAGCTATAATATTCTCAAATCACGTGCCTTGTTTAATTATAATATAAAAACGTTCAATTTTAATGGAAACTTAAAGCCCTGACCCATGTAGTATTTAAATATACGTGGTATATTATTTCTAGTCTTCTATTAAAAGCATGTCATTTTGGAATCGCTGAATCATAAGCTATTTTTAATTTCTTACTACCGAAAATATAACACACGTTAAATATTCCCTTCCTTTCAAATATTCGTCCGAGAATCCCCGAAATATTTTTCTTAACTCATCAATCCACTATTTTACTTTCTAATTCTAGATATTAAATGTTTTACATGTTCAAATTTTATTTTAAGCTATTGAAATTTTTAAATGTATGTTTTAAATATGCCATTTAATTCCTTATAATAACTTATATGTTCAAATTAAAATGAGAAAATACTTATGAGCAGTTGAGTACTAGAGACCAAGACAAAAAAGGAAAGTCAGAAAACGCACTAATAAGCGATATACAATGACTGCCCGACTATGCCCGAGGTTCTATGTAAAACATTGATCGTACCTGAAAATCGGAGGTTCATTCCCTGCACAACGTGCGAAAGAAATAGCACCATTATGAAAGTACGGAATATTAACACAGAATTAGTACGTACACAACTCCTAATTGTTGTGTATACTGACAATTAATTTGAAAAAGGACAGAATTTTACCCCAAAATGTATATGTGTACGGGTAGTGTACAATATGTGTATACATCAAGAATTACTCTAAAATGTCTGAATTCTCAACTGTAAATGGATATAATGATATACCTATATGGCTATATGCACAGGCTTTCGTTTTTCTTCTTCTTTTAGAAAAATTACTTGTAAGCAAAGACAAAATAGGATCAGGCACAAAAACGTGTACAAAAAGAATGTTCCATATATGTGTGTGTCATGTGTGTGAGAAAGAGTGTGATGTCTTGATTTTATTCGAAAGTGGACCTTCAATCTCACTTTTCCCTTCAATCTCACTTTTCCCGATCAGGGTCCCTTGCGCATCGGACGGTCGGGTAGCGGCGAAGGATGGCTTCAAGATCAGCAAAAGTGTGGATCCCAAGATCTACGGTCGCAGAATTTGCGATTGGATGACTGTCCGGAAGCAATGCACTCTACCTTGCTCTAAAACAAGGCAGAGGCTCCGGATCCCACTTTTCCACCTCTAATACTTATCTAACGATTAATATTAATTTCTCATTAAAATCATATTTAAACTCTGAAAATTTAAGTTTTTTGATGATCTAGGAATTGGACAAATAATAGATGATCCTAACGATAGAATAAAAAATTGAATCATAAACATTATTTTCGACCAACAATCGGAAGTAATATGAATGCTACTTATGCAATATATATAAATTACACCATTCGTCTCATTTTATTTTGGTTGTGTTACTTTCTCTTTAAGTTTGTCCTAAAATGGATGTCATGCTTCACTTTATTCTACTCAATCTCAATCATAACTATTCGGTTACAAAACTTACCATAAATATCAGAGATCATAAGAATTGCATTTTTGGAATGGGGTGGTCCGGTGAGATAAGTTTGGAGGCCACCAAGTTGTGTAACAGTCCCGGCTCCACAAGACGAGCAGAAGGTTGGCCGCTCGCTGTAGCACGCCGCCAGAGGTGGCGGAGAAGGCCCGGAGGAGCTTCCAGTATTCGCCACCAAACTCAAGACCAGCAATCCTATCATCCTCCTCATGGCTTAATTTGCCTTTGCCCCAACTTGGTACATGTATTTATTAATTAAATTTGTCTTAAATCTTAATTACTATGTTGACCAAATTGGTCAAAATAATACAAAGATATTGAAATGTCAGACATTATGTTTGGCCCATCATGTCGCTCTAATTACAAATGTCAAAGAGTGGGGGGTATTGACCATTGTTTATTTATTGTTGTAACTTGTGAGCCGAAATAAATTGGAGGGCCGACCTCCTCTCAATATTTTTTCTTATTCCCTACTATTACTCCCTCCGGTTCGTATTAAAGTTCTCACTTTCCTTTTAGGGATGTCCCTTATTTAAGTTCACACTTCCATTATAGGAAATAAAATAGTGCAAAACAGTGCCAAACAGTGTCAAACAGTGTCAAACAGTGCCAAACAGTGCCAAACAGTGCACTCCACAGTAAAGTCAAATTTATTTTCTTAATCTGTGTGAAGTCAAACCGGGAACTTTAATAGGAACCGGAGGGAGTATCTAATACTCCCTCCGTCCCGTTGGAATGTTTCCGGTTTGACATACACATATACTAAGGAAATAAACTTACCAGAGGGAGTAAATTTACTGTTTTGACACTATTTCGACACTGTTTGACACTGTTTTGCACTGTTTGACCCTGTTTTGATGTAGGATAGCTTTCCATTTAGGGAAATAGAAACTTTCCACGAGACATCCAAAAAAAGAAAGCGGGAACATTCCAATGGGACAGAGGAAGTACTAGTATATGATCTCTTGTGTGTTGTGATATTTAAAAGCAAAAAAAAAAACACTAATCAAGTTCAGGTTCAAACATGTCCACATAAACAAGCAACATATACTCGTATATATCATCCTCCCTTTTCTCAATAAATAAAAGATAAAATTAAAAATATTCACATAAAAACCAATAGGAAAATAATTAAAATACCCCAAGCTTTGAAGGGATGTGAGATAAACATTCCGAACTTTCATATGTAATTTAAATACCCCAAACTTTATATAAAAAGTTATTTTGACACCATGGTTATGTATTATTTCTTTCAAAAATGTAAATTTACGGTGTTAAATGCAGAATTTAAAATAGCAAATTGAAAACATTAGAATTATATATAGTGGTGGGTAATACTATTTATTTTACAATGGAAGCTTAGAATGTTAATTGTATCTTTATGAATGCTAAAAATTATCAAATTATGAAATAAACACCAAAAATTAATATTTTTGAAAGAAATAATACATGACCATGGTGCTAAAATAATTTTTTATATAAAGTTTGGGGTATTTAAATTACATATGCAAGTTTGGAGTGCTTATCGCACACTCCATCAAAGTTTGGGGTATTTTAATTATTTTCCCCAATAAAATATACTCCCTCCGTCCCTAAATAAAAGCATCTGTTTCCTTTTCGGGCCGTCCCTAAATAAAAGTTCTCTTTCCTTTTTTGGCAAACAAAACAGTACAAAACAGTGCAAAACAGTGTCAAACAGTGCCAAACAGTGCCGAACAGTACCAACCAAACCCACTTTTTAAAGATGTGTGTAAAATGAATGGATACTTTTATATAGGGACGGAGGGAGTATACTCTATACGGAGTACAATATTTCTTATTGAACCAAAAAGGAAGTAAATTATTGCACGAATTTCCTAAGCATATAATCCTAGCTAGTTAAATTAATTTCTAATTATTCAGGTTTGTGTAGATTTTTCTTTTCAATTTACCAAGGACCCAAAGAAACACTTTAATCAATATATGGAGCAAATTGACGTGATAAGTAATGCAAATTATCTAAATGGGAGTAAATACATCTTTAATTGCCAAAATAGGACTAAAGTTTAAAAATTCTCAAAATAGGAGTTATTAATTGTAATTGGACAAAAACACCCCTGAAGCTTGGAAAATCGTACTGCCACCGACAGAACGCCGGGCCGCCTCAGGTCGCTGGCCGCCGCTGACGGCCGCTGCTGCAGAATGGTCGCCGCTGCATATCGGCCCGCGTCCGCCGCAAATCTGGCTGCGTCTGCCGCAGATCTGGCCACCGACACCGTAGATCAAGCCACCGCCACCAGCCCCCGGCTGCCCCTACAGATTTGGCCACTGCCACTACAAATCCGACCTCCGCCACTGCACACCCGTCCTCCGCCGCTGTAGATCCGGCCAACGACGCCGGTTATGCCAACATTTTATCAAAATGCCATCATAAATTGAGAATGCCATCTAAATGACATTTTCAAAGGAAAACGTGAAATTGTTTGAAGAGGATGAATGCCATTTTTATGGCATTTTCAAACGAGATATGGAATTTTTTAACAACCAAATATGAAACAGAGCTTTGGTCATGCAACGAAAAGATGAATTAGGGATACCATTGTAATGACATTTTCAAAGGAAAATACAAATTTTTTGTAAAATAAGAATGCCATTTTGATGGCATTTTCAGTGTTGAACTTGATATTTTTTACCAATCAAAGAAGAAATCGAGCATCTGCAACGAAATAGAAGAGGGAGAGAACTGGAGAAAAGGGGAGGAAGGAGAGAACCTACCTTTGAAGAAGAGAAGATCTCCGACGGCGACGGCGACGGCGGCGGTGATGGCTATGACTGGGCAGTGGCGGAGAACTTCACGTCAGCGGAGGCAGGCTCGACGCTTTGGTTGTTCTAGTGCGAACAGCAGCCCGAAACCTCTTTGTCAATCCCTTCTTTTTTATCAAAGCGTGAAGTTCTCCGCCACTGCCCAGTCATAGCAATCACCGCCGCCGTCGCCGTTAGAGATCTTCTCTTCTTCAAAGGTAGGTTCTCTCCTTCCTCCCCTCTTCTCCAGTTCTCTCCCTCTTCTATTTCGTTGCACATGCTCGATTTCTTCTTTGATTGGTAAAAAATATCAAGTTCAACACTGAAAATGCCATCAAAATGACATTCTTATTTTACAAAAATTTTGTATTTTCCTTTGAAAATGCCATTACAATGGTATCCCTGATTCATCTTTTCGATACATGACCAAAGCTCTGTTTCATATTTGGTTGTTAAACAATTCCATATAAATTAATTCCATATTGATAATGTCAACCAATAAAAAAGTCAATGCACCCTATCGATAATTAATTCCATTTTTAATAATTAAAATTTATATATTCAAAAACTATATTAATATTTCATCAAAGTTGTAAATTCCAAATTAGAATATTATTAAAAATTGACATCCTAATTAAGCAAATAAAATGAAATTGTTTGACCAAGAAAAGTCAAATTTGCAAATCAATTTGGTACGAAGGTAGTAGTATATTACTACAAAAAGAATTGGGCTCTTCCAATTTTTTGGACCTTTCCAATTTTTTGGGCCTTGTGCGGTTGGACACCCTACACACCCTCAGGGCCGGCCCTGATCACATCAGTCATCATCGTATACCGTAGTAGCAATACTCCATTGCTGGATTAATATGGAGTAAATCGTACTCCTTCCGTCCTTTAAAACTTTGACATCTTTTCTTTTTGGAAGTTCCAAAAAACTTTGTAACTTTCGTTTTTAACCACACACTTTTTATTTTATTATTCTTGTGCAAGTTAACTTTGTCTTTTCACTCACGTTTCACTCCATAAAATTACCAGCGACCCTTCACGGCCAGCCACAGAGCGTTTCTTGACCGATAAGAGCGGCGGTTGAAATCTGAGACCGACGTAGAAAAACACCGTCTGAGATAGAGAGGGGGAAGGGAAACGCAGGAGAGAAGGATCAACCTGCTATTGATCTATGCAAACAGGGAAAGCCGCAGCTATCTTCCAAATTAGGAGACGACCAATCGTAGGAGGTTCACATGATTATGAGCTGGTTTGATAAGTTGCGGTGTTCTTCCAATCTCAGCCGCGTAATTGCCGGCATTCTTATATTCATGCTTTACCATTCCTTTCAATTGATCTCCAATTTCCTACTTCCTATACGTCCTTAAACAAACTCCTCCACCACCAACAGCGAAACGCACATTAGTTTTTATTCGTACAATTTGCACGGATCGTATATAATTCAACTAATAAAACGCATCAATCTTGTTTATTCTCTCAACGCCCGTCTGAAGATTTCATGGATCTCAAAGATGATGATTCCAGCTCAAATAGAAGTATCTTACATGGTTAGTATACGACAATTTTGGAGACTCATTATCTCAGTCCTTTTATATACGTCCCCTTGTCATTCTCAATGCACTATTTATTGAAACTAGAAAATTTTGATGGTGTATTTGCGATAAATTACATTTAGCATAGCCGTTAAAACTGGCTAGGTGTAATGTGACACTGTAGTGTTTGAAACCGTAGAGACAAAAAGACTTTCATTGTGCCCTAGTTATATATATAAAAAAAGGATGACACCCCTTCACCGAGGGCCCCCGACTCCGACGGGACGGTACGTTGGGAGGATGTAAATTGTACTATAATACCAATCTACCAGTTGAGCTACGCCCACCGGTATGCCCTAGTTATATAATTGTTGCATACTTGCATATTTGTCTTATTTCCTCACAGGAGTAGGAGCAAGGGACCAGTTATTGTTATAGAATATAGACTGTGGTCACACATCTTTTCTTAAATAATACTACCTCTGTCCCACTAACATTGGGACGGAAAAAGGTGTCACGATTATTAAGAAAAGTGAGTTTATGTGATTGATATTGAATTGATAAAGTAAAAATGATTAAGAGTCAAACAAACTTTACCAAATATGGTATGAGACAATCTTAGTGGGATTTCCTGAAAATGTAAAATAGGACAATCTTAGGGGGACGGAGGGAGTACCTGCTTTCTGTTTTTAAGTGTGGAAGGCCAGCCTTGAAATCCAACCTGTGTGACTCTCTACTAATTGGCTATTGTCTTCCTATTGAGTGCAAGTACCACTTTAGGGCATGTCTTTTGCATTACATCATACTAAGGTTCACAAGTGAGTGATTTATGCTTTTAGATACAAGTCATGAATATTCATGTGTCCTTACTAGTTGTGTATCTAATGTCCACCGGGCAAGGTTTTATATGGTCTACTTTTGAAAATCTATTTTCTTGTGATTTTGTGAATCAAGTTTATTCACTTTTTGATGTAGTGCTGTTTGATTCACAGACACATTTACTTCCCACATTGGGAGGCAATATAATTCTTCTCCGTCCGTAATTGTGATTGGTGGAGGTATCTCTGGATTAGCAGCTGCACGTACCCTCCAGAATGCATCTTTCGAGGTGGGCAAACTCATATTTGTGTGCATGCGTCCTTAATCCTTTTTAGCTGGAAAATGCTGTTGTGAAATTTTCCTTTAAGTAATGTCTCTATGGTACTATTCCAGGTAGTGTTGTTGGAATCAAGAGATAGAATTGGTGGGCGTATTCACACTGACTACACATTTGGTTGCCCTGTTGACATGGGAGCATCATGGTATGTTAGTATGTTATATTTTCAGTTTTATCTTTAAATGTTTTGTTGAGAATGCTCTCTTGTAGTTTTGTGCAGCTTTAAGTACATCTCACTGCTGGGTACATCACTGGTTTTAACTTATAAAGAGAAAGTCCTTTTATGTATCCGCATGCTTAATTTGTTTTGTGGTGTTCTGTTTTACAATTGATGGTCTTGATGCATTATTTTTTTTACTCCCAGTAATTTTTTATCATATCATTATAGATCACTGCCTCACTCGCACATGTATTTTGTCTCAGGCTACATGGTGTTTGTAATGAGAATCCTTTGGCTCCAATGATACGGCACTTGGGCCTCAGCTTATATCGTACAAGTGGTGACGACTCTGTGTTGTATGACCACGATCTGGAGAGGTAAGTTTACCCATACCATCCAAATAAAAGATCTGCACGTCACTTGTGCACTTTTGGGTTACCTCAGCTGAAGGTAGATTGGCTGCTTAGCTGGAGATTCATAAGCTGCCAGTCATACTAAAAGTGTGGTCTAAGCATCTACTGAAAATGTATCAAAGGCAAGGTAGTCAAAGTCGTGAGGTGCAATCAAGGCGCTAGAGTACTCAAATTGCCTGAGTCGCAAGGCGCAAAAAAGCTCTCGCTTGACTCAATACAGGCGCACCATCTATATACTATAATATATATACCATAGTTATAATTCTAAAGTATAAAACAAGTTAGAAAAAGGAACAAAAAAAACTAAAAGAAGAAAATTGTTAGTTGTTAGGAGATAAAGTATAAAACAAAAGAAGAAAATGACAGATAAAAGAAAGAGAAAAGATAAAGATATAGACTTTTAAATGCTGATATAAAAAATTAAGAATAAAGAAAGATGTAGATTTAACATTCAAAAGGCAAAAATAAAAAATAAGAAAAGAAGAAATTAAGAAGACCAGAAAGAAGATGGAAAAAATAGGAGGAGGTTACCTTGTGCATGTTGTGTAGGTTGTTGGTCAAACACAGAAAATAAGAATGCAACGGTGAAAACTTTCTAAGTTTCGTAGACTCCTTAATACATTGACTAAAAAGGGTTTCAACAAGGTTTAAGTTGCTTTTCCCCTATTAGTTGGATACTTGGATGGGCTATATCTTATTATTGATATGGGTTTTATTTAAAATAAGCCCAAATCTTTTTTAAAAAAGTTCAGAACCCTTTACCAGTCCAGGCAAGTTGGGCGTGCGCTTCTAGCGCATTTGCGTCTCTGCGCTTCTTGTGCTTATATTGCGCCTCAGTCAGACAGCCTCCCCTGGAAGAGTATAAGGCGTTGCACCTCTATAACGCCTCGCCTGGTGCGCTTAAGCGACAAGGCGTGCACTTTTGGCTACCTTGGTCAAATTTTATTTCCATCATTTGCAATGGAGCCAAAGACTCACTATTTTTTGGCTTGGGAATATGATGCAGCAAAGAAAAATGGCTCACTAAACTGTCAGTGCTTCTTTCTTATGAACCAACAGTCAATCCATACAATTTTTGACGCGATTTTCACTACGGGTCATCCGGGAATAGTCTCTCTGTGCTTTAGTACAAGGGTAATGCCGCGTACATCCGACCCCTCTTACCCCACCATAGGTGGGAGCCTTTGCGGTACTGGGGTAATGATAATGATCAAGAATGGAATAACATTTTACTATTATTTAATATTCAAAACTCATTTCGTAATAGAGGACTTCAACAACAACTAATATAAGACAACGAAATGCATACATTGATATAAATTTACTTGTCATACTAATGTATCATATTATAATACTTCCTCCGTCCCAAAAAGGTTCGCCAAATTGATTTTTCTTGGTCAATGACAATCAACTTTGACCAATGCTATTTTTTAATATGAAATTATTTAGAATATGAAAAATATATGAAAATGTTCCTTATTCAAAATATTTTCATAAAAGTATAAATTTTATAAATTACAAATAAATATAATACTTAAAATCATTGTCCAAATTTTACCATCATTGACCAAGAAAAGTCAAATTGACGAACCTTTTTGGGACGGAGGTAGTAATAATTATGAGAAGGATATTTTTGACATTACCATTCCTTATAAACCAAGACTATTAACTAATACTACCTCCATCCCACTAACATTGGAACAAGAGGTGACACGGTTATTAAGAAAAATGGATTTATGTGATTGATATTGAATTGATAAAGTAAGAATGATTTAGAGCCACACAAATTTTACCAAATTTGATGTGGGACAATCTTATTGGGACGAACCAAAAAGGAAAGATGAGACAATCTTAGCAGGACGGAGGGAGTAGTATAATAAAAGAGATGAAGTACTTGATACAATAAGAAAAGATGATCTAAAACAGAAAATGATTTCATCATACTCATCAGATGTTCTCTCAGTAAACAATATGATGATCAACTAAAATTCAGACATAAAAAATTTACTATGCACGCCTGATGTTGGAACTCGTTCACACAGTAGGGACCTGGGCACATGCTTATGTGATTTTAGTATTTTACCCTTTGACCGGGCATGAGTACTAATTTACTACTATTATATCCCCAGAATATTTTATTGTGATTACTATTGTGCATTATCTTCTTATGCCAATTGACCTATCTATTCTTATTATTTTATTTTTTATATTGAGTTTCATTTTCTAGTTGAGAGTATTCTTTAGTGTCTCTTCCCTTAGGTTTGCTTAGGCATCACAGATTGATAAATGAGCTTGGGTTTAGGATTTTGACAGGAACATATTTCGTTGTAATACTGGGGGATATCTGAGTAGAAAATTGAGAAATCTGCTTCAGCTCCATGTTCCTTTTTTTCTCTTGGTTATTTTCCCATAATTAATCCAATGGTGGACATGTCACATGTGTATATTTGTATTTTCAGTTTTATGCTATTCAGTATTGATGGTAAGCAAGTTCCACAACAGACTGTTGTTGAGGTTGGAGATGCATTCAAAAATATTCTTAAAGAGGTTCTTTGAACGATCTTTTTCCATTATTTACTTTCATAATCACACATGAGATTGTTTATTTAATTAATTATATAATTCATTTGTTGACTTGTTATTCATAGACTGAGAAAGTGAGGGATGAACATAGTCAAGACATGTCAGTGCAGCATGCAATATCAATAGTACTGGACAGATATCCAGAACTGAGGTATGTTCAAAGATAAGATTGTATACCATTATTAATTATTAATGGCGTGCCTACTTAAACATGAGTATAGTTATGTAGTGTACATACATACTTTATGCCATGTAGGCAAGATGGACTTGCCCACGAAGTGCTGCAGTGGTACATATGCAGAATGGAGGCATGGTTTGCTGCAGATGTAAATTTGATATCTCTGAAGACTTGGGATCAGGCAAGTTGTTTTGAGTTTTTTCTTTTGCACAAATTAATGCAGTTTTTTAGTCATAACCTTTTGCTTCTAAACTGGAAGGTGCCAATCTTCTCTCTCAGCCTCACATTATGATACTGTGGAACTGTAATCTCTTAGATGTTAGCCTGTTTCCATGAATCCGTATTTGTTCTATTTCTTTCGTTTCTTCTTAAAATCTGTTTATCATAAGTTCATGACCTCCTGCTGCAATACAATTGAAAGAAAGGACTGAATTTTGTTATTGATTTTAGTAGCTTGTAGCACTCGTATTTACTTCTAGCTTCCAGTGTTTCTTGTCTCTTGTTCTGTTTCATTACCTTCCCACCTTCTATCATATTTCCTTAGAGCTGATGTGAAACTTTTAGAGTTTTAGTAAATTCATTTAGGCTTCATAGAAGGTTCTTATCTTATGATAACCTTGTTCTAGAAGTAAGTTGGTTCCTAACCTGATGGCCCGACCATACAAGGTTAAAACAATTTATTTGGTGGGCTCATCAGCCTAACCTTCCACACAATTCATTTATCATACTCAATAAATATATTTATATGCATGTTAGTATAGTATAGAGTTTTGCTAGATCTGTTCATGCTCTTTCATGCGCAATTTGTTGTGGATTGTATGCTGGCAACGGTTTTGCTAGATCTGTTCATGCTCTTTCAGATGCAAATTGCTGTGGATCGTACGGGTTGTACAATAATAATTTCAATGGTAATGTTTGGTACTTCATGAGTTCTGATTTGATGAGGAAGGGTCATTCTCATGTGCAGGAGGATGTGCTTTCTGGTGGTCATGGACTAATGGTGCAGGGTTATTACCCTGTAATTCAGGCTTTGGCTAAAGATATCGACATACGTTTGAACCACAGGTATGCCAAATTGCCATGTCTTGTTTTTTTAACATAATGATAGGTTGTCTTGACTGTGCTATTTTTTTCGCTTTCCATAAAACAACAATCAAGGAAAAGGAAAGATGGACAATGAACACAAAGCATCAGGAATATAGCTATCCTTTATGTTAATGTTATGTTATCTGAATCTGAACATTATTATTTTTATTCATATGAGGGTAATATGATTTTGGAGAGAGCAAAGTGGAGGGAGAATATACGTACTTGTAAAGGATTGGTATAATTTTGTTTATCTCCATTTTTCTCTATTTATTATTTATTAATCCTGATGTCGTATGTCAATTCATGTTGGTGACCCCAAACTTTTTTGGGATTAAGACTTGGATTTTGTTGTTGTTCATGTGAGTGCTTGTAAATTGCGCATAGGTCTTCCTAGTGCAGACGACGATTTCTTTGAAAGTAGATGCTGAAATTGTTACTTATTGTGATGAGTAATGTTTTACTTCTACTTCCTCCATCCCATAAAATTCTTCCTGGTTTGACTTGGATCGGTGTTTAAGAAAGTGAAAATAAAGTAGAAATGTATGATTGTGGTTGAGTAAGAAAAAAAGGTAAATAAATGTTAGCCACACAAACCTTTTCAAAAATGAAAATGAGAACTTTTGGGACATCCCAAAAAGGTAAGTGAGAAGAATTTTATGGGACATAGGGAGTATCATTTATGTTCAATTTCACATAGTAAGGGCTGTGAATGGAGGATTTCTACAGTGTGTATTGACTGCATTGAACTTCTCATGGTCAACAGGGTTTTAAGGATTACAAATAGGTATAACAAGGTAATGGTGTCAGTTGAGGGTGGGAGAAATTTCATAGCAGATGCAGCTATAATAACTGTACCCCTCGGGGTTCTCAAAGCAGATTTGATCAAATTTGAACCAAAACTGCCTGAATGGAAGGTATCTGCTATACGGGATCTTGGCATGGGGAATGAAGATAAAATCGCACTGCAGTTCGACAATGTCTTCTGGCCAAATGTTGAATTCATAGGCATAGTTGCCCCAACTTCTTATGCCTGTGGTTATTTTCTCAATCTTCACAAGGCAACTGGCCATCCAGTCCTTGTCTATATGGCTGCTGGAAGCTTAGCTAATGACCTTGAGAAGCTATCGGATAAGGCTGCTGCAGATTTTGCAATGTTGCACCTGAAGAAGATGTTTCCCAATGCAAGTGAACCTGTAAGTACTCTTAGGCCCTGTTTGGTGACACTAAATTCCTTATTCTGTTTATTAATATTATAAAATGAATAATAAAAAATAAAAAGAAGATGTTTTCAAAGGTGACTTGTTCGGCTTGTTTTATCAACCATATAACCTTGGGTCATGGGATGGGCAGTTACATTTTTCAGGATTTGATCATTTGATAATGTTTACGGATGCAGGTTCAGTATCTGTTTTCACGCTGGGGAACGGACCCGGATTCTCTTGGAAGTTACTCATATGATGTGGTTGGGAAGCCAGCAGATGTATATGACAGGCTTCGAGCTCCCTTGGGGAATCTCTTCTTTGGAGGTGAAGCAGTCAGTCTTGATCATCAAGGATCTGTTCACGGTGCGTATTCAGCTGGAATCATGGCTGCGGATAACTGTCGCCGACATATAGTCAAGAAGAGACTTGGGAGTCTTGAAATGATGCAACTTGTCTCCCTCAGAGAAGATGCTCTTGAAACTGCAGTTCCCCTCCAGATCTCTAGGATGTAATGTCTCTCGACTCTCTTGTGTATATGGGTGTGCATGCGCGCAAGCGTATCATGTACTACTATTACTATTACTGCTTAGTCAACTAATAATTCTAAGATTGTTCTGGAATCAATAAAATTCCATCTATTTTATTTTTGCCTCTCCGCAAATATACTTGCAGTTCAAATACTGCCCCTTATTGTTCCGTTTATATTTTATGTAGCGTCAGGCAGTCACGCATTCCAATCGATTTATGTCTTATCAATATATCAGTAGTTATTTTGCGAGTATTGGGATTGATTAGGAGTGGACTCGGGCCGGTTCGGGCCCGGTTCGGGCCTGGGCCCGGCCGGGCCTCGGTTCAAGAAGGAGAGGCCCGGAACCGGCCCGGGCCGGGCCGGGCCTCGGGTATTTTTTTTTTTGTTTGGGGGCTTTTCCTAGTTAACCCCCACCCCTCCCCCTCACCCCCAAACCAACTCTAACCACCTCAAAAGGCCCAAAATAACCAGCCCAACCCAAAAACTCAAAAAAAATTCAAAAAAAAAAATTAAAATTGGCCCGGCCAGGGCCCGAACCGGCCGGGCCGGTTCACCTTTTGAAGGGCCCGAGCCCGAACCGAGAATCCACCGGGCCGGGTGGCCCGAACCGCCCAACGAACCGGTTCCCGGGCCGGTCCGGGCCCGCACAGTGGCGGGCCGGTCCGGTTCCGGGCCGGTTGGCCCGGCCCGAGTCCACCCCTAGGATTGATTTAGCAATCACGTTTTGTGATGATTTAGGGGGTGGACAAGGTCGACTTTCATTTGGTGATCAACCTGAGCTGCTCTTTTTAAGATAATTATGTACGGACTATATGCAGCACCGGGACCGAAACGGAAGCGGGGAAGGAAACGGGGACGAGGGAACTCCAATCTCAAAATATCAAGATACGGGTACGGCGCGGTAACATCGTAATAAAATTTAAAATTTTACTAATATAAACAAATATCTATTAAATGAGGTCCACAAAAATAAGAAAAAACATACCAAACATTTGTCCTTTGTTATAATCCATATACAGCCATAAAAAATGAGTCAGCGATTGCTATTAAATCTGAACTGGAGAGAAGATTGCTAAAGTGCGGATACTAGACTACCAGTCTCTTCGCTCGTGTCTAGCCGTTTGCTTAATGACCCAGACTCCAAGTCGGACTTGCCTTCTTGCCGAGTTGCCGTCAACCATCGTTACTGAGTGGGAAATTGCTAAGCTCTCGCCGTTTTCCGATTCTCAAGTGCCAGGTATATGTTTCAATTTTAGCCCGGTTAGTCGATAGCTTATGTGCAGCAGATTAAAGGAGGGATTTCTTTTAACAGCAGAAACATGAGGCGTCAGATTTAAAACGCATCAGAAACGTTTCTGGAACCGGGCCCAACAGCCCAACCCGTCAGATACGTTTTCCGGCGTTTCCCTCCCGTTTCCAGGTGATACCACACGTTTCCCGTCTCTGAAACGTTTCCGAAATGGGCCGGGTAAATCGACCCGTAACCGGCTCAGCCCGATATTGTTACGGCCCGGCCCGGACTGGTACCCGGGTCTGTGCCCGATTCGGGCCACCCGGCCCGGTACTGTTACGGGGCGGTTCCCGGGCCTCCCAAACTATGAACCGGCCCGGCCGGTTCAGGCCCGGTTCGAGCCTTTTTTTTTTTGTTTTTCAAAATATTTGGTAGGTAAATGGGTTGGGCTGGAGGTTTTGGAGGGGTTTGTAGTGTAGGGGGGTGGGGGGGGGGGGTAGGAAGTAATTATTAAAAAAAAGGTTACTCGGCCTGGTACCCACCAGGTGGCCCGGCCCGACCTGGGCCCGGTAGCTACCGGGGCGGTTGCGGGCCTCAAGATTCCAAAAAAAAAGCCCGGCCCGAGGCCCGACTCGAGTCCATGCCCGGGGGGGGGGGGCATTATTATCCTAACGGGACGAAAAGGCCTTAATGGGCCAAAACGGGGCCCAACTTAATAGGCTCCGTACTGGGGTAATGTCTTGAGCCCTAGACAGTAGTGGACCGGGATAATATACCTCAACTCAGTATGTAAATGTCGCAGGCTCACTACTATTTTAATGTGTTTTTGTAATGTGTTGGTTGAGTGGATTGTAATATAGTCTTCTTACCATTTTTCCAAGACAGTACTACGAATCTGCGATCCAATCTAGGTGCAAAGAACACAATCCAAAACTGGATTCTCCCCAATCAACTGAAACACCTCGCCCATTCTCTCCACATGTCGCCATTCCATCTTAATTATGTCACAAGGGCATGCTCATGTATGAGAATACTTGAGAATTATCTTGATGATGCAGAAGACTTTTTTGAAGTTTATGGTTGAGTAAATGAGATTATTTTAAAAAAATTATTAGATAAAAATATGGTATCAAATATTGAATGCTAGGTTCTTCAAAATTATTCTCAAGTTTCAATGACACATTTGATGCGACCATGTTTTCCAGTTTGGAATAAGTAAAATACATTCTAGAAAAAACTCCTTAAAAAATTAAATTAATAGAGATCACGGTTGAAGGAGAATAGTAAGATTTGATTATATTTATGTGACAATGACATGACAAGAGACAAATATAAAAAATGTATTGGAAGTATTGGTCCTACTAAGGCCTCCTGTCCACTTCTTATGTTAAGCCCTCTATCTTATATCTCTTGTGACTCTACTCCTTGGCCAGTTGTATTACCATTGCCTTCTAATAATTCAGCATGCACCCTATGTTTAGCCCTCTATCTTATATCTCTTGTGACTCTACTCCTTGGCCAGTTGTATTATCATTGCCTTCTAATAATTCAGTTTTGGCTATGTGGCCTTACCTATCCGTTGCAACCTGTCTGTTGGTGTTTTGTCCTAACTTGATAATTGAGGACATCTCTCATGTTATATTAACTAGGCAGCCAGCTCCTTTCTTTAGTGTGAGCATTGCGGATAAGATAAAAGTGAGGTGTGTGAGAGAGTGTACCTACAGTCTTTCCCAGGAAAACCCAAATTACTACTCAATTTTGTAATTAATTCTCGCTTCCGCTTCGTCCATCCCTACTCGCGCATAGGCTTCCTTCTTCCTCTTTGTGAGTTGAGAGTGAGCTGAGAGCTAAACTTGGAGAGTGGAGTGGCTAAGCAATCCTGGGGTGGTGTGTGTGAGTTGTTTTGGGTGGAGACCTGAGCGAAATACACACCCAACAATGATATCAGAGCCGGATTCTGCCCTCCCCCGCCGTCCGCCACCGCCGATTCAAGGTCTCTGAAGTTCGTCGACCGTTGAGTTCAAAGCTGAAGCCACCATCGCCGTCTATGTGTTCAGCCGTCGTCACCACCAGAGGTCACCTTCTCATCGCTCGACCTGTCTACAACTGGACCTTGAACCCTAGGTGCTGACTTGGCAGATGTGTTCTGGTTGACGCACTTGGACGGGACCGCTGGATCTGGTTGATGCACCTAGACGAGACCTCTGGTGCACATGCAGAGGATAGGGACGAAAGTTACCGCTGCAGAAGCCGGACTTGGGCTTGACTTGCGCTGCTCTATCCTGGAACGCCTGGAGCCATTGTCGTCTGGGTGTTCGCCGTTCGCTGAAGATCAATCGCCGGAGCCGTCGTTGCAGAGAACACCTTTCTTTTTTCTTGTTGCCATCGATCCTTGTAGGTTGTTGGTCGCGTTTGTAACGTAGGACTTGAACGCACGAAGGAGAACCGGCTGAAAGCTTATTGGACTTTGGGCTGGATTAGGGTGAAATTGGGCTGACCTTTGGGGGCTGTTCAATGGACCTGAAGGACGCTTGAAGGAGACTGCTGGGTTATGTTGAACTGGGCTACTGCTGAGCTTCTGGACCTGGGCTGGTGCTGCTGGAGTTGCTAGAAGCAATCAACGCCGGTCAAAGTCAGTCAACAGTCCGAAAAATCCCAATTTTTTAAAAATTGGGTGGGTAAGGTCGAAACGCCTCTCCTAGTGTTTCGCTTCGGTGTATTGACTTGAAACTTGCTTTTATCGCTTTTGTAGTGATTCAGTCTTTTATTGTGTAGAAATCCGGGTTTAGGTCGATTACTGCCTTTAAATTGATAGAATTTGATGGATAGTGTACCCGGGAGGTAGCTTATCCGAGCGGTTATTTCGGAGAATAACTAGAAAGAAGTCAAAGCAATAAGTAAGAGAGAGTAAGTATTCAATATATGAATTGTTGTCTCTTTACAATGGAAAAATAGGCTACTATTTATAGTAGTAATAAATGCTAGGCAGGGACACGTGTCGAACATCTGACGGCCGAGGGTCACCTCAATCGGGGTGGCACCGGCATTCGCATGTGGCCGCATTAAATGCGGTGGTTGGATGTGACGTTTGTACTTGGCACGGCGATCCAGCACATGTGGAGAGGAGATTCTGTCGTGGAAGACGCCTTCGATTGTACATATTGTGCCGAAGGTTCCATGGGCCAGGGGCCTCTATGTGCCGAGGGTTGTAGGTGCCGAAGGCTTGGTTTTCAGCCTTGTTTTCCTGTGATGTTCCTGGGTTCGATTCTGTCAACGATAGCCTTCGGTCATGAGGCCGAAGGCACCCCCTTGCGTGTTCTGGGATGCTTAGAGCTTCATTTTGCTGGACTTGGCCCGCTTTGGGCCTGTTGGGCCTGATTGCAGTAGTGGGAGTACGTGGGCCGGGGATCCCCGGGCCATATACTCCATCAGAATTGTTGTGCTATTTTGTGCTGAAAATTTATTATTTATTTGTGCATATACAAGGGGTTTGAACTTGAGTTTGGTGCTCATTAATACTCCCCGTGTGTTCATGCTAGTTATTTCGTATAATTCTAGCCTTAGAAATATTTAAATTGTTTTTCAAAGAAATTTACATTTTCTTTTGTTGCTTGTTTTTCTCTGTCAAAATGTCTGCTTATAATCAGTATGTTATGGCTCCATTTAATGGAAAATTCGATTTTAGCATTTGGAAGCAAAAAATTAATTGTATTTTAATACAACAAAAATGTTTTAAAGCAGTTGGTGAGACCTATTTAATTTCTGACACAGAAGATAAAAAAGTAGAAATGAATGAAAATGCATGTTATGTGATTTATTTGAACTTATCCGATTCTGTGATTAGAAAAGTTGGAATTTTAGAGAGTGCTAAAATTCTATGGAATAAATTAGATGAACTGTATACTGAAACCTCTTTGCCTAGTCAGATGTTTTTACTTGAGAAGTTCTTCAAATTTAGACTGGATATGTCTAAGGATATTGAGGAAAATCTAGATGTTTTTACCAAACTTATTTATGATATTAAGTTGTGTGGTGATAAGCATATAGATGATTATTCCCCTATTTCTCTTTTAAATGCTATTCCTGATTCCTTTAGTGATGTGAAATCTTCTTATAAGTATGGTAGAGATAATGTGACTCTTGACATTGTGGTTAATGGTCTTAAGAGTAAGGAATTAGATTTAAAACAGATGAGTGAGGGTAGAAAATCCGAGGAGGTTATGCATGTGAGGGGTAGAGAAAATAATAGACAACATATATCTAAGCCTAGGTCTAATTCGAGGCGTTTCTATTATTGTCATGAACATGATCATTTCATAAAAGACTGTCCTAAATTAAATCTAGGGAAAATAAGCATAGTGAGCATGCTAATTTGAATACTTGTGAAGATGATTTAAGTGATGTTTTTTATGATGAGAAATCTATGTGATTATGACTATTTGAGTTCTATGATATCTGATTCTTTGGGTAAATCAGATTGGGTGGTAGATTCTGGTTGTACTTTTCATATGTCTCCTTTGAAAAATGTTTTTTCAAACTATAGAGAGATTGAGCATGGTTTTGTGTCTTTTGCAAATGAGAAGAAATGCAATGTGCTAGGAATAGGAGATGTATGCCTTAGGTTTTCTTCTGATTGTGTGCTTACTTTGAAGAATGTTAGGCATGTTCCTGAGCTATGTTGTAATTTGTTATCTTGTGTTTCTCTTGAAAATGATGGTTTGAAGGGAAAATCGGGAAAGGGAATCATGAAAGTTGTGAAGGGTTGTTTAGTTGTTTTCAAAGCTGAGATGAAAAACAACTTGTATGTTTGTCATGGTGAACCTGTTCTTGATTCTATGAATTGTGTGCAACCTTGTCTGCTAGGAAAACAGTCTAGAGTTAGTTTTCACGATTTGCCTAAGTGTATTGATGTGCTTGACTGTATTCATGCTGATTTGTGGCGTCCTAGTAATGTTTCCACTCATGGTGGAAAAAATTATTTTGTGACTTTGGTTGATGTTTTTTCAAATAAAGTGTGGGTTTTGTTGATTGAGAATAAATCTGATGTTTTTGATAAGTTTAAAAACTGGAAAAGCCTTGTTGAAAATCAAACCGATAAGAAAATAATGTGTTTAAGGACAAATGTTAGTTTTAATTTTTGTGATGATCAGCTTGGTGATTTATGTGATACTTGGGGTATTTCTATGCATAAATATGTTCCTTCCACACCCCAACCGGATGGGGTTGCTGAGAGGATGGTTATAACTCTTTTAGAGAGGGTGAGGGCTATGTTAGCATCATCTGGGCTCTCTAAAAGTTCTGGAGGGAAGCTATTTGTTATGCTTCTTATTTAATTAATATGTCCTCGTCTGTTCCCTTTGGAGGGAAATGCCCTGAATTTGTGTTTACGGCGAACCGCTTGACTTGCCAAATTTGAGAGTGTTTGGTTGTACAACTTATGTGAATCATGAGAATGATGAATCTGAACCTAGGACTAAGGAATTTGTTTTGTTAGGATATAATGAATGCATGCAAGGTTATAGGCTTTGGTGTAGAAGTGAAACTTGCTTCAATGTGTTGATAAGTAGAAATGTCATTTTTTTTGAAAATGAATTTTCCTTGCCTGCTTGTTTCTCCTGATGTTGCTCCAAATGAGGTGGAGCATTTTCCTGTTGAAGTTCATTCTGATTTACTTGTTGAATCTGAACCCAAATTTGTGAATGAAAATGTTTTTCAAGTTGAAAATAAAGAAAATAATATTTCTATTAAGGTGGAGCATGATATGAATGTTATGTGCGATATGCTTGAGTTGTGTGATTGTTATGTTATTAGAGATAAAGACATTAGGGAGCATGAGAGAAATGATAAGTGCAAAGTGTTAGACTATATTTCTTCTGAGTTTGCCTTAAATGTGCTTAATTCTCTTTTAATTAAATTCTTTGTGATATTTGGTATGCTATTTTCTCTGTATTTTGAAAATGTGATAACAAGTGATTATGTGAGCTCTACTTGTCCTAGTTATAGAAATAATATTGTTTCTTTTATTTTCTGTGCACTTGCTTTGTGTGGGTGTTAGATTAGTTGGAATCCCCAACTTCTCCCGGTTGCTTGATTGTGTGGTCTATTAACATGCATTGTGTTTGTTAATAGTTTCGTGATGATTTTGGTTCTGAACTCGAAGACCGATTGGTAGAGTTCAGTCCATTATGAATTGAGTTTGCATGGTAAGCTTGGTCCGAAAGGGAACTTTGGTTCTCATTTATTACTTGTATTATCTGAATGATGTACTTGTAATGGTTCAACGATGATGAGTCTCCTCACAGCCATGTATTTGTTGCTTTACACCACCTAGGACCAATAAGGTGGAAAATGTTAGAGGTATTGGTCCTACTAAGGCCTCCCGTCCACTTATTATGTTAAGGCCTGCACCCTATGTTTAGCCCTCTATCTTATATCTCTTGTTACTCTACTCCTTCGTCAGTTGTATTACCATTGCCTTCTAATAATTCAGTTTTGGCTCTGTGGCCTTACCTATCCGTTGCAACTTGTCTGTGGGTGTTTTGTCCTAACTTGATAATTGAGGACATCTCCCCTGTTATATTAACTATGCAGCCAACTTCTTTCTTTAGTGTCAGCGGTGCGGATAAGATAAAAGTGAGGTGTGTGAGAGAGTGTACCTAGAGTCTTTCTTCTTCTTCCTCTTTGTGAGTTGAGAGTGAGTTGAGAGTTAAACTTGGAGAGTGGAGTGGCTAAGCAATCCTGGGGTGGTGTGTAAGAGTTGTTTTGATTGGAGACCTGAGCTGAAATACAGACCCAACAAAATCGAATATTTGAAAAGTACTTCTAAGAACCACCCTCACAATCCCATCTCCACAACTATAGTGAGAAAAGAGAAACAATTCCACATTAAAAGACGTAACTGTTGAAGGAAATTCTGTGTAGTGTGCTATCGTGTATATAGAATATGTATTAGGATCATTCTATGTAAACTACCTATTATATGGGCCCATTGGCCCATCTATGTAAACCCTAATATCTCCCTATTTATAGGGCCTTTTATAATGAAACTATACACCCAATTCTCCCTACAACACGTTATCAGCACGTAGCCCTAAACCTATTTTTTTCTCCCGTTCTCCCTACACTCAATCCGCAGCCGCGCCTCCAGCAGTCCAGCCGCGCCGCCAGCAATCCAGCCACGCTTGGCCGCCTCCCAACACACCGACCGTCGCCCGGCCTCCCCCCTTCCTAGCCTGCGACTCACCAATTCCCGGATCTCTGTTGAGGTATTTTTTACTCAAAAATCATTGCAGGATCTTATGTATATGATTTATTGCATCATGTTTACCATTGTGATGAACATCATTGATTTTTTTTAGAGATTAAGTTGTCAATTTTTTGAGATCCATTTCTTGCACCCCAAGTGTTTGATGATATGCCTCATCCATTTTTTGAGAGATAGATGCAATTTTTTATTATAATTCCGTAATGCTATATGTTATAATCATATAGTTGGAATTAATATCACATTATGCATCCCTCTTCGTTTTTATACATCTATGTGATCATACTTTTTCGTAAAACTATATGCCATATACATATAGTTGGAATCAAAGATCACACGATTAATCTTATTTTCATGTATTTTATATGATTATATGATTATACTTTCCGTAAAGCTATATGTTAGATAGATATAGTTGGAATTAAAATCATATTATGCACTTTTTTAATTATTTTAAACATATTATGTGATTATATTTTTCTGTAATGCTATATGTCACTTACATATAGTTGGAACCATAATCACGTAAGATTACTATATTTTATGCCTAATCCGTTCATTAAACCAATATTAATACTTTCTATATTAAAACACCATATAACATCCTATAAAAATCTCTATGATTTTTTTAAGGAGGTGAATATATATCTCCTCACTTCGATGCATTGTAAAATATTGTCTACAAAGAGACATACTCTCATGATTAATTTTTTGTCATAAAGAATTTTCACACAAAGAATCGATTTTGTTTATACACAAGTTTCTGTTTTATATCATATGAACTACACAAGTTCATGAATTTACTCATGATCATGTAATTTTTTTTAAGATGGTTGACCATCTCAACTTGTATTTGGCATTTTGGCCTCGGACGGATTTGAGTACCATTATTCAGTTTTCTATATTAATTATTTGTGTGATAAAGAATTTCCACACAAGGCTCTACAAATTTAATTGACCAATCAATTTGACCGGAGTTTGACATTATGCACTCAAATGAACTTGAGTATCTTCAACGCTTATTTTAGAATTCAATGCTACTCCGGCATACTTTGTGAAAAGCAAATCACAAAAGCTTATTTAATTTGATAGAAAAAAAAATTAACCATTTTTACACATACTTCTCTAGACATATACTAATGCACCAGTATATATTAAATAATTATGTAACTAACTAGCTTTTAGCTGGCACTAGTGAATGATGTTTATTGTTATTGTGTCTTTTTTTTGAAATGCAATTACAATATTTTTTGGGGGGATAAAGAAACCTCCCAAGAGTTATTTGGATAAAGAAATTTCCAAATAAAAAAATTGAAAATATAAATTTTAAAGTAAATCCCTTAATATAAGAGGATTAAATGTGATTATCTCGTCAGGATATATATAACTTGAAAATATACTTTTAATTTTTATCTTCGTAGAATCTCTAAAGAATAAGAGATTCACCGCATGAGAATATAAATTAAGTTTCATGATTGTCTACTATTTTGAGAATAAGAACACTCTCTAATTATTGGGTTTATCCATTTTTTATTTTACTCTTTCATGAGTTTTAAAAATATGAACATTACTAATTCTAATTAGACTTTTATTCAAGTCTTACAGTTTGGTATAAATTATATTCGTTTGAGATTTTTAATTAATTTAACATCTCATTGTTCCATCTGAAATTGTATTTGAGATGTTTATGCATTCGAATTCATTACATGCATATCTTTGAATTTTATTCATAAAAGAATGGATACAAAGGAATATATCCACAAAATAGTAGAATGATATGTACCACAGTCAACTTGGGGTCATAGCACTCTAAGGTATATGGGTGACATTTGTAAATTATTGAAATCTGTGACAAATAGGTGATTTAACACATTGTGGTGATGTACAATAAATTAAGGAATATATTTATCGAAGTAATCCTTAAAATCAGTTATGATTGAAACAATTGTATTCATCTCCTCACATAGAATGAAGTCATGTCATGAGTTTGAATCTGGTGACCAGTCTCTTGTCAAAGTAACACTTTAATGGGATTTTATTTGTGTTTCAATGACGAAGTGAAGTGGCATGCAAGAAAATACTCCATAATAATTGTATTTGAACGATGGTGAAGCCACGCGGCATTCAAATGACAAAGGAGAAAACATAGGATTGAGAGACATATAAGTTTACTTAAGGGCAAATTTGTCTTTTAATGAGGTATTTGTTTTCTTATATATAAATAGATTTTTAATATATATTTTAAATATAGTTTTTTCATACTTCAGTATAGATTCAGCCAACACAAAAGTCAGAAACTTGAGACATAATTTCTTAAATTTCATATAACTTAACAGATTTAACCAATTTCCGTATTATCAAATGGATTGTCATTAAGTTTACTTAGGTTGTGTTTGTCAAGCCACTTCAGCTCATAATGGGCTGAATCTTTATAAATTCAGTCAATAATAATAAAATTTGTAGTGTTTGGATCAGAGGCTAAAAGCAACTGAAGCTGAAAAAAGAAGACTGAACTGAAACGTTAGCAAGCATAACGTCTGCGTTCAACCCAATTAAATAATACTCCCTCCGTCCCCTTTTAAATGTCCCATTTTACCATATTGGGATGTTCCTATTTAATTGTCTCATATCTTATTTGGTAAAGTTTGTGTGGCTCAAAATCATTCTTACTTTATTCTTACTTTATTTTTACTTTATCTATTAATATTAACCACACAAACCTATTTTCTTAAAACTCATGTCACCCTCTTTCGGGACATTTAAAAGGGGACGGAGGGAGTAAGCATTTGTTCCTAAATTAACCTTGCACTCGCCCCTTCGTGCAGATTTTTCTTCACGTAGTAAATCCTCAAAATCGGGTAAGGTATGAAAATGATTTGTAAACTTTATATTCCCTCCGTCTCTTTTTAGTTGCAACATTCTCTTTTTCACGTTTTCCATCGCACAACTTTGACCGTCATTATATTTAATTCCGTATAAGTAAAAATAAAATAAAAATCAGATTATAAAACTTAGTAATGAGACGAATTTAACAATGTTTTTCAAAAAAAATAATTCACATACATTAATAAATAAAATGTAGTCAAAATAGAGTACATGAATAATGCATATATTCCAATGTTGCAACTAATGTGATAAAGAGGATAGTATTGTTATCCTTGATTGTTGGCCGCGGTGTCCATCATCAAGTGTATTCACAACCTCTTGTAACCATATCCTTGATTTGAAAGGCTGAAAACATACAAAGCATTATAATAAATATTTTATTATATTAATAAATCATATGCCCTTTTATTTAATTTAATATTATCGCAACATTTTTCAGCTCATTTTGTCATACAAGTTTACTTTATTCAGTTAGCGATTGAGGTCAACACTTCAAAGTTCAGCTCCAGACAATAATCTATTATTTAGAAAATAATCCCTATTTCAGACATTAACCTTCGGTTTCAGCTTGTTGTGTCAAACGTAGCCTTAATTTCATTCTATTAAAAGAGAACTCCAATTATGGTTTCAAAAAGTTGCCGGAGTCGAGTTTGTGTAATACGGAGTAGTTTTCGACTTTGGTTTCGTCCTGTTTTATTTCTTTGCACGTACAACACTATAATAAAAAAAAAGACAAAACAGAAATACTCCGTACATAGCTTACTTAACATTTGATATAAAGTTATAAACAAATAAAAATATGGATTACTATGGATCTATTAACCACCCATTCGGGTCATGTGGGGCCACCCGTATTCAGGCGTTGGTTCTTTCTAGCCCCCTCAACACACGCAAGTGTAGACGACTAATCCACTGCACCTTCTTGATACTCCCATTTTCTTTTCTTTACTCTTTTCTCAGTTTCTCCATTTCTCCTTCTGCAACCTATCTTTAACCTTTCCAGAATTATATTAAGCGCCATATCTCCGAGAATTCGTAACAAGATATTTACAAATTTAAAACGAGAAGCATCTCTTCTGCTACTGTATTATTCATTCGCTTCATCTCTTCCGATGGCGTCGGGCGGTCACCAGAATGTGAACGCAAAACTCGTGAGTCCATCGTTGCACACACTTGCTATATGTCTCCTTGTGGAAGCCGTCTTAGTTTTATTTCGATTTCTCTTTAACATCCTGATTTTGATCATCAGGTATTGTTGGGTGACATGGGAGCTGGTAAATCAAGCCTTGTGTTACGATTCGTCAAGGGTCAATTTCTCGAATTTCAGGTGATTCTCCATTCGGATTCTGTGTTTTTTAATCATTTCGTCTGATAGACAATTGATGATTCGCGCTGTGAGATCGCCTTGATGGTAACGATGACTATTTGCAGGAATCGACGATCGGGGCGGCTTTCTTCTCGTCTACACTGTCCGTGGACAACACCACAGTGAAGTTCGAGATCTGGGACACGGCTGGCCAGGAGAGATACCACAGCCTGGCCCCGATGTACTACAGAGGCGCTGCTGCTGCAATTATTGTCTTTGACATTAGTAACTTGGTACGGCTCCATTTCTCCAACATAGCATATGATTGTGCGTGTATTGCTTCCAAGTCCCTCTGTTTCCACTTCCGACCTTGCATGACAAGCAATCAAGCATTGCAAGCTTTAGCAGCTCTGAATGGAGCTGTTTCCATTATTTAACCAGCTAAGTTTAGCTGTGTAATCAGTTTCTAGTGAATGGAGGGGTTGCACTTATGTGTCTGTGCAGAGAAATATTTAAATAAAAAAATAAACATTTCATGTGGTACCAAGAATTAATGTAAGAGTATGAGAGGAAATGGTTGATAGTGAGAGGTTTGTTGGGGTTTAATAGAGAATTAATGATGCAATGCTTATTGTGTTATATAGATGCTGCAAATTTTTGATTTGGAAACTGATGTATCCAGTCTTGCAACAGAGATTTGGATACTGTTATGGATCAAATAAATCTTGCATCGTAGGAGTGGAGTGTTGTGTAACAGAAAAATAAAATCAACGGGGTAAACCGTTGCCCAGATAATCAACTATAAAAATACCGTTGATCAGGTCTTCTCCGTCAAACGAGGGCAGCATCGTAAGAGAAGTGCTGCACAGATCAGTTCCAAATGTGGATGTTGATGTCGCATCGAGTGAAGCCACTGCCGATGAATTCTCCTCCGCCGCTGGTGGCGCGAGAGCTTTCGTGAGCGCAGCCAAGGAGGATGCGATCTCTGCCAGTAGGATTCCTTGCGCGTCCAGCTTCGCACCCCTCGCGTCTAGTTTTTGGTTCATCAAAATCAGTTTAGCCTCCACCTCTGACAAACGTTCACTGGTTGATCTCGTCATTCCAGCCGGAACGGGTTCCGACAGGTCGGACCAATTGTTGTGTAACAGAAAAATAAAATCAACCGGGTAAACCGTTGCCCAGATAATCAAAGATAAAAATACCGTTGCCCAAAGCCAAAAGGCTAAAACCAATTTTATTCCAAGATGAGCCAGAATGAATCCTAACAAGGGGTTTAAATACCCATCTACTAATTCCCAAACTAGGAAACTAAATCCTAGAAATCCTAATCAACTACAACTAGGAAATAGAATAAAAAAGATCCTAATCAACTTCAAATAGGAAACAAATAATAGAAATCCTAATTAACTCCTAATAGGAAACAAATATTAGAAATCCTAATTAACTCCAAATAGGAAACAAATCAGGAAAATTAAAAAGATAAATATTAATAAAAGCAGCCTGCAACCAGCCCACGAAGGTGGGCTCAAGCCCGTTCCCGCCTTCAGTAAACCCACGGGGGCTTCTGCCCCTCTTCTTCCAAGCCCAGATTCTGCTTCATATCAGTGGAGTTCCTCTACTAGTCATGGTTTATTATCATGGAGTACATTAGATTAGAGATTGGATGAATGGATCTCAAAATGGATGTTTGGTTATGTTATTGTTGTGTGAGTGCTAGGGAAACATAGTAAGTTAGTAACTTCATATGTATAATGAGATAGCCTGTTTCTCTTTTCTTAGTATGGAAAATAGACAGAATCTACCTGCCTCTTTCTTCATGCTATTTTTCTTGGTTAGAGCAATTTCTTTTACTCCGTTCGAATCACATTGTGATTTTTGGTGTGGTATACTAACCTATGCTTCTTGATGAATTTACCTCTGTAATATGTTATTATTCATTTACTTGGTGTTGCCAATTCAAAATATTTACAGTTGTTGCTGAATTATAGGAATCTTTTGACCGTGCAAAGAAGTGGGTCAAGGAATTACAGAAGCAAGGTTCTCAGACGCAAGCTTACTGGTTCATCATGATATATTGAATCAATTTCTTTTTATGGATATTTTGCGTATTGTCTCCTGTACTATTTGGTTGGTAGTTAAAGTAGAATAAAATTTAAAAGAAAATATTGTACAGGAAAATTTGTTGTATTGCTATGTGACTATTTCTCTTTTATATTTATTACCTGACATTCTTTTAACTGTTAGCTTTGAAGAAAATTCAACACACGCTTATCTATTGGAAGGTAGAAAAAGAAGTAATATTCCTTCTGAATTCTTGCAGGTAATCCAAAGATGGTTATGGCACTTGCTGGTAACAAAGCTGATATGGAAGACAAGAGGAAAGTGACTGCAGAAGTAAGAACATCAGATCTTATTTGTATTGTATTTTTTGGACTATTAAGTTCCATTTGTTATATCATGTATTTTCATGTTAATTAATATTGAGTCGTTTTGCAGGAGGCAAAAGTATATGCAGAGGAAAATGGTCTTTTCTATATGGAAACCTCTGCAAAAACTGCTCAGAATGTCAATGAAGTTTTCAGTGAAATAGGTAAGAAATATTTTCTATTTGCATTATTTTCAAATCTACAAGTTCATTTGCATGGAAATATGGAACAGATACTTACTGCTTGTTCCTTGATCCGTTTAATGAACGAAAAAGAATTTCATGTGATGTGATAGCTGTTTTTTCTCTTTACTTTTTTGGGTGATGCACTCGACACTGGTAGGAGTTGCTAGGCAAACAAATAGTATTGGAAGCGTAATTTCATGTAGCACAATCATAGTAATCACTGGCAATGGAGGAGCTGTGCCAGGCTCTGTCGACTCGCCTAAATTCTCCAAGTCGACCTGGGGCGTTGGTTAGGGACTGTCCAGTGTCCACAGTGATGCAAGACCATTTATTCTGACTGCATGCCTGACTTGGAAATCCCTACACCTTATAAGCCATTGATCTGCCGCAGGTTGCAGAGTAGGCCCTTTGCCATCTTGTACACTCGCTCTTCGCTCTAAAATCTGAAATTTTATCTCTTTTGGCATTTCATTTTCGTTGTTCCCAAAGGGTCTTCTTAACATTGTTCTCGACTTCTCCTTTTATGCACCCTGTCCGTTCCATTTTCATATTCATACTTTCCTCTTCCATCCGTCCCAAAATAAACTTCACTTTCCCTTTATGGCAAAGATATTGTGATTCGCATGAAGTTTCTCTCCTCTTGACAACTTTCAACCACATAATTCCATTTTCTTATTCTATGCGCATATCAAACTAGGTGTATAACAGGACACATGTAGTATTAGGTAGTTGCATTCTAGCTGGAGTCAAATGTATATACACAGCTGATGTGTATGGAAAAATAGTGTAGAAGACTAGAAAAGGATGGGCTAATGTATCAATATTTTCAAATTAAATTGATGCACATTTTTTGCTCAGTATGATACTACTATTGATATGTAAACATTTCAAATTGAGCATTTGAGTTTATCAATTTGTGAGAGCAATGAGTTCTCTAATGGTAAAGGTTCTAGGCTGTTGCCTTGTTGGACTTTTTTGTTTTCCTCTATCTAGCTTGTTTATGTCTTGCAATTGTATCCACTTCTTGAACTATAACCTGTTGTGTTTGTACAGCTAAACGGTTGCCTAGAGCTCAAACTTCTTTAAATCAATCTGGGATGGTTCTTGTAGACAGACCTGCTGAAGGAACTCGTGCAACATCATGCTGTGCTTAATTTTCCTTCTTCTCTCCCCGCTCCTCCATCCATTCTAGAAAAGGTTCATATGTGTATGTGGTTGCACATTGCAGTATTGAATGACTCTTTTCTATTAGGTAGAATTGGGCGTCACACATCATCATAGGTTCTTCTCAGCTGTGTAATAACTTTATGTTGGGTTAATGTTGTTATTGTTTGAACTTATTTACCAAAGTTATTGTGCATGTATTTGATGATTTCCTAGAAATATGCATGCATACTAATCTCATTAAGTTGAGTTACAAGATCTGCCTCTCCCAGTCTTCTTTTCATCCTCATTTTCGGAGGCTGTGTGCGGTGTGCCTTGAAACTTTCTTATTTCGCGGTTTCGCCTCTTGAGCATATTCCTCCAGCCCATTCCCTACAAGGAAGATGAACACATGCAAGCTAAAGCGTTATGAGTGGTGATCAACATAGTCATAACTCATAAATCATCATAATGCATTTGGTTTCAAAAAATTACTGGGTATATATAAATATATAATCACAATAGTTTTTGATAAAAAAAAGAGATTGATTTGTGTATAGTATAATAAATTTTGATTTTTTTTTTGACCCTGTAATTGGTTAATCGCTCAAGTATTTTGAATTATGGGAAAATGATATTTAAAATGTATACATACTAATGTGTTTATATATCCTTGTAACAAAACCTTAAAAGTAAAAGAAACCTAACCTTAAAAGTAAAAGAAACCTAATACTGATGTGGGTATTTTAATATCTTTTTAAAGCAAATAAACTGAAGAAAATTAAGATAGCTTAGAGCGTCAATTAGACATAAGAAGTTAACGCCATGAGTCCATGACACTCTCATTGAGTAATAGTTCACACAAGCCCGAAAAATTCCCTGCCATAATTTTGTCCGGCAGCACAAGTAATATTAAATCCATCATCTTCCTTCTAGGAAATGTCATATATTTCAAAAAAATAAGAAAAATAGATTATTTTAATGATTGATAATGAGGAAGACAATGAATATATAAGAATCGGCAAGGATTGTTCAATTAAATAGAGAGGAGGGACTACTGGACTATGAGCATGAATAACCAACAGATGAATACAGACACTCTGGAGCATTCTGAAAGCTACTTGCGGTGCAGTATTTCAAATATATATATTTATTTTAATGCTTTTGCAATTCTAAATTCGAATGATCATATATTTGATTCAGACCAGGTGAACTTGTGTGGAAATGTTACAGAGTTGTGCTGCTGCTGTGAGAATTCCTATTAGGAAAAAACTTTAATCAAATTAAACGTCATAAATGGATTACTGGAATATGCCACAACCTACATTTTCCCCTTGCTTTATGAGAATGTTGTGTGTTTTCCAATTAGCAGCTGTAATCTTTTTGCCTGATTTTCCATATTTGTTTAAATTCATTATAGTTTGAATTTTAGTTTTTTAGGTATGCATTGACCAAGGCACTTGAGATAAAAAAAAAAAGGCAAAGCAGGTGTGAATTTATTCACATACGATAGTATTATGTGTTGAAACAGTGTGAGCATATACAACTTATTTCAGTTATGCTGCTTTTGCATTTCCATATAATTGGGTAATTAGTCTTACTTCTAGTCTGCTCATAACTTAGACTTCCTATGATCACTTTCTGAGATGACCAAGCTCTTAGCCGTAGCTCTTAGGAGGTGCTTTTGAACTTTTCCGGTGGATGTTCTTGGCAAATCCGTCACAAACTTGACCTTCTTCGGCACCATGTATCCGGGCAGATTTTCTCGACAGTGCGCCATGATGTTAGCTTCTGTCCAATTTCCGGTGGATTTCAGGACTACGAAGGCGCAAGGGCTCTCGCCCCACAGGGGGTGCGGCATAGCGACGACAGAGACCTCGGAAACACCGGTGTGATTCAAGATCACGCTTTCCACTTCGACGCTGCTTATATTTTCTCCGCCGGAGATGATGACGTCTTTGGACCGGTCCTTGATTTCGAGGTAGCCGTCAGGGTGGATGACGCCGACGTCCCCAGTGACAAACCATCCGTTTCTGAAGGCGTCGGAGTTGGCCGCGTCGTTCTTGAAGTAACCCTTCATCATACTGCTGCCACGAAGGACGACCTCCCCCATTGTCTGGCCGTCGTGTGGAACTCGCCGCATTGTCGTGAGGTCCCATACCACGTCGGCATCGGCAAGTGTCAATATGATGATCCCCTGTCTTGCCTTCAAACGGGCATGTTCCTCCGCCGGCAACTGATTCCATTTCCCCTGCCACTCGCAAACCGTCGCCGGTCCGGTGGCCTCGGTGAGGCCATAAGCATGGGCGACGCGAAACCCCAGCCCCTCGATTTTCTTGAGGAGTGGTGGCGATGGTGGCGCCCCTCCGGTGAGGATCTGGACCGGAGCAGGCAGTTGCCGGCGCTCGTGCGGCTTGGCATCCAAGAGAATGGAGAAAACGATTGGCACACAACACATGTGTGTAACTCCGTGTGACGCGATGCTGTCGTATATGTTTTTGGCGGTGGTGTTGCGCATGCAGACGTTGGTTCCGCCACGGGCGGCGACCCCCCAGGTGAATGTCCAGCCGTTGCAGTGGAACATCGGGAGTGACCACAGATATACGGGTTGGATCCCCATTTCCCATCCCAAAATCAAGCTCAACGTGCTCAGAAAGGCTCCCCGGTGACTGTACACAACTCCCTTGGGCTGAGATGTCGTCCCCGATGTGTAGCTCAAGGTGATCGCGTCCCACTCATCGTCGATAGCCACATCGCTCTCATCCTCCTCCGTGCCATGATAAATCCGTGCTCGGAGTATCAACTCCTCGTACTCGAGGTCGCCTAGCCGGATTCCGGTGGGGGCGGCGACGTCGTCGATGTCAACCACTAAGGGCACCGGTATATTTTCGGCCATCATTATCTCCAATGCCTTCTTCGCATTCTTCACATACTCATAGTCCACGAAGAAGACCTTGGCCTCGGAATGCTTTAGAATGGTGGCAATGTTCTTCGCGTCAAGCCTCGTGTTGACGGTGTTCAACACCGCCCCCGCCATTGGCACCGCAAAATGCATCTCGTACATTGCCGGAACATTTGGCGCCAACACCGAAACCTGTGCATATCGGATCAAAGACGAGATTGGTTTAGTTTTTCGATCTATGACATTGTACTAGCTAGTATTAATTACTAGAGCATATATATGAAAATTTAATGAGGCAAGTATTTTAGAACAAAAACAATTTCATTATAGCATATTTGCATATATATACATACGGAGTAATATTTATAAAATTAAAATTTGGTGCTTACGACGTCGTTCTTGACAATGTTGAGAGCTCGTAGGGAGGCGGCGAGGCGGCGACATCGGTCATAGGTCTGGCTCCACGTGAAGTGGACGCCAGCATAGATGACGGAGTTGTGGTGGGCATAACACTTGGATGCCCTTCTCAAGAAATTGATGGGAGTGAGGGAAACATAATTTGCTCCACATTTGGCCAATTTATCCATTTTGCAGCTGGTTAATTATGCGGAGTATATATTTCAGTGTTGGATCGGACGCTACCTGTGCGATTAATCTCTAGATTTGTTCTAAAGATGAATGGATTTGATGTTTAATTAGTTGGAAAGCAAATGAAAGAGGAGCTGTTTATTTATAGGTGCATATGAATAAGCTTCTTGTGTTTTTGCATCAGGTGGAAATGTGTGGGAACCTGACGTGAATGTGTCGTATGCTGTATTCAAAGTTTCCATGTTTTTAACAAACTCGATAGACTTTCCTTCCCACGTTTCAATTGCATGTGTATTGAAACGTGTATAACATATTAGCATAACTATCGAAGTCTGATTTGATCTCGTCTAATCATAGACATAAATTAATCCAATTAAAAGCATTCGGCAAAAAGAAATGAATTTGTAATTGATTGATATGACATAATACAAGAGTCTTGATAATTCAATAGATATTCATGAAATTCAATGGGTAATTTCTATACCTAATTTTGAAACTACACATGTCAGAATGATTATCAGAATGTTTTTGCTCGAATTGATTTTAGTCTTAGACTAGATTAGACCAAACTAGATTTGAGTAGACCAACCCAAACTTTTAAATTATAAAATATAGAGGTGGACATATCGGTTTTCCAACATTTTGGAACAGATTGGAAGAATCATTATTAAAAAAAATCATACTCACTTTGATGCATATTAACTATAGTAATATTTTTGCGCACTAGTTATATTTCAGTAATATTTAAGAAAAAACTACGTTTCTAAAACATCGCATAAACTATAGTGCGAAACATACAACCAAGGGCTTATGTAGATTTTTTTAAATAACATAATAACAATTGTAGTTCAAAAAATGTGCATAACAATTATCCTATTAAAGCTTTGCCCTAAAAATGTTATAAGAGAAGAAATACATCCGATATCTTTGTTTTTAAAAATTCTTTTAAAATGTATTGTTATAAATGTTGTTTATCACCATTCAATTAATGTCAGCTTCTAACTTAATTCAAAAATATGATTGTTGAAATGAATTAGTACGAAAGATTGTTGATTTATGTGATGTAGTTATGATCAATTTTATTATTTATGTGATGGGTTAGACTACATTTTGTATATTTTAAATTAAAATACTTCGTTTTTTATAACTTTATTTTGCCATGTCTCAATTAGTTCTGTATTTTTATGTTACTAATGTTTTTGTAAATATTGTGTTTATATTTATTGCCTTTATTCTAATTCTCCTGATTATTTTATTTATAGATTACAACTCTTAATGAGATTTGTACGTAATTTTTTATTCTTACTAATTATGGAGCAATTAAATGTTTTATTAGGAGAATAAATTTCTACTTCTTTTATTTCTAAAGTAAATGGATGTATAATTGAATTACCACCACATTGTCTTTGCTTATAAAAGTATTGTTAATCTTTTTAGCACATATTTGCCTTGTTTATCAAAGCATTTAGATTTAACAAAGCCTCATTAATTTATACCAAACAATTTGTAACTGGAGTGGGCATGCGTATCTGATTTCAAAAGGAAATAAAAATAACAACATATTTTGGAGTACGGCCACAAACCCATACCATGAACTAACTTATATGGCAATGAAAAAAAAAACAGTTGAATGGTACATTTCCCAGCCAAGAAGAAGATGATTTGTGGACGGTATTTTCTTAGGCACACGAGTACTGTTTAGCTATGATTATGTTTCATCATAATAATGAATGAATATTTCCTAACTTCTATGTGTGGCTGCGTATTATTTGGAGTTATATCAGATTTTTTA